TAAACTCGGAACACCTAACCAATGTGGACATAATTATTTGGGTAAATGATTTGCTGCATTGCAGACTTTAGCTCTGTTTGTAACTGGGAAAAAATATTTATATGAAATAAGCAAAGTATATGGAAGCTAGGAGAGTACAGCTTTGGTGCATGATATATCCACAGTTACCATGCTTTAAAGTGGCTTTTTTCAAAGCATAGATGGTAAATATAAAGTGTTTTTGCTGACATGACAACACGGGGCTTGTTTTTAGTACTAAGAGTTCACTGGCATTGAAGAGTATTTCAAGCTTGGCTTAACAAGTTTAACTTTCATTGCTCACTAAATGTGTAATTAAGTTACAACATCTTCTCATCTGTTTTGAACTTAAATTATCACTGGTTTTAACTTTCCTGTCACACATGACTTTTTCAGGATTGCAGGATGTGTGAAAATGGTTTACTGTAGCCATATGCTTCTTGGCTCAGAACTCCAGGATGTTTCAGTAGGTTTGAAGCATGGGTGGTTGTGTGATGTGTGGTTTTTCCTTTACAAAAGCTGTGTTGATTCTTGCCTAGACTACTCTTATCTCCTCATGTTTCCAGAAATTCTTCTGCAGAATATTTCCAAGTAGTTGCATTGGAAAGGGATCAGGTTTGCAGGAGGGTGACTCCACCAGATGTCTCCTTGATCCCTACCTTGCATCTGGCCTGTGCTGTTTCCAGGTGTCCAAGAAGTCTACCTAGCTTGGTACCTGAGGATTGAATCACTTTATTGTGAGTTTGCTGTCCTGGCTGGGTGTGTTTGCTGAAGAGATGGCTCTTATCTGTGGGAAGGACACAGCTAAGAAGCCAATTGTCCCTTTAGCAGCTCTCTGGCCTCCTCCTTAGATGCTTGTCTACAGATCCTGGTGATAAGTGTCACCAGGACATTGTGGTGGTGTTTGTTAAATCCAAGTGTACAAACCAAAAGATGAGCTGCCTGCCCTGTGTGTCTGTGTGTGCCATCCTCTGGGCCATAACTGTGTGACCGTGCAGCAAACTGGGCACCACCTGCACCTGGGTTTCTGTCTACCCTCTCCTTCATGGGAATGCAGCTGCTTTCAGTGACATCTTCTCCTCATTGACTTGTTCGAGGTTTTTGCAATCTTCCTGAATTTAGGAAGAGAACATCTGCTGGGTTTTTCCCATCCATAAGCCAATTGCTTTTTTATTTTGCTGTTTTGCTCCATGTTGGTTCTCAATGGCTTTTGCCTGACCAGGTCGAAGTCTGTTGTCTTCAATGTCTGAAGATTATCCATAGTTAGTATTTGAGATATGCCTGGTTCTTGCTTTTCAACAAGTTCATTGTTATTCTTGCCTTAAAATAATATTGGAAATGTCTGCCATCATCCCCATAAGATTAGTGGAAATATCTGCTGTTATCCCATCTTCTGCTCTCAGGAGAGATTAAATTCTGGGAATCAAGGCACTTGAGCAGTTCACTTCAGACTCTTTCATTTGCATGAGTTTTGCAAGGAAGCAAAGGAATCTTAGTGCTGGAGATCTAAAATAATTCCTGCAGAGTTTTCCCAAGACCTTGACTTCCACAGAGCTGTAGAACAGTTTGGGTTGGGAGGGACCTTAAAGGCCATCTTATTCCAACCTCCTGTCATGGGAAGGAACACCTTCTACTAGACCAGGTTGCTCCAAGCCTCATCCCACCTTGAGCACTTCCAGGGACAGGTCAGCTTCTTTGGGCAACAGCCTCACCATTCTCATCCACATCAGCTGATCAGGATACTTAGTTTGCTTCTCAAAATCCCATGGTGTGAATTATTTTTCCTCAGGATGTGATGCAGTAAGACCAAATGGAGTGTGTTTTGTACACCCAGCTGGAAGGGGCTCTGACTGTCCCTCAGGGAGCGGCTGTAGCTGCACCCCAGGCTGTGTGCTGAGCACTGGGTGAGGATGCATGGCCCTGCTTCAGTCACCATTTCCTGTTCCTGTGGCTCCCAGCATGAGGATGATCCATTTCTGCTGCTGAAGCACCAACACCTCGTGGCCCTTTGGGCCTGGGTAGTGGTGCTGTGCTGCTCACCTTGCTCTATAGTTCTGACCTATTTTATACTGCTGCCAAAGCAGAGAGTTTAGAGAGGGATGGATGACTGTCATGGTTTCCTTCAGTGAGTTCAGATCTGGTGGATGGGAAAAGGCACTTTAAAACACAACAGTGCTTTTGAATTTTCCTGCGAAGTTCATAACACGAATGCAATGTGATTTGTGGCTGTTGTTTGTGGTTGTATGGAAGAAAATGCTTTTTCTGTTCAGGTTTTCTTATATGTGGTACTTGTTCTAATCTCTGCTTTCCCAGGGAGGTAGGAAGTGGTGTTTGTGCTCTGGAATGTGAGTGTTAGTGCGTGAAGGAGCTTGGAGGACTTCTTGAAAAACTGTAAAGGGAGGCAATATATTCCCACTGAAGCTGCTAAACAGCAAAGGCTCCTGTGAGCCCAGAGGCACACACATTTTCTGTAAAGGCTGTTTTTAATCCTTCAGTTTGGAGATGTATGAGGAGTCCTTGTCTCTTGCTAATCAGTGGAATGTCCTTGCCATCAGCTTTCTCTCCTAAAATGCCTTGACTAGCATGTGGTGCTGGTTTAGGCTGCTCTCTTCCTTCCCCTTGCCCTGGGGGTCTTCTGAGCATCCGTGTTCCACAAGCTCACCATGTGGGACTGACACAGTGCAGCTTTTCTTGCTCTTCAACTTCCCTTAGTGGTAATTTGAAACTTGCTTTTTTTTTTTTATGACTCTTACTGCATGTAGTTCTGAAACTGCTCCCTTGGAAGGTTTCTTGGGTGGATGTAGTGCAGAGAGGGCCACAGGCAGAACGTGTGTGGGTTGCACTGGGGATATTTTTCTTCCCTTTCTTCAAACTCAGCCCTTCAATTTATCAGACAGAAACTGAAAGGATTTTTTTTTCTCATGTTGCTTCACTGAAATAGGGAGAAGCAGGTCAGCATTGCATGGACCCACCTCTCCAACACTTCCAGTGGTAAGAAGGAAGGAGGATCACAGTTCTTAGCAGGGGGCCACCTTGTTCCACACTGAAAGGATTATTGGCTAGATAATACACTTTGCATATTTAGGTACTGAGCCGTGAATGAATGCAGTACTAAAGCTTAGTTAAGGTCCCAGTTAAGTTCCATTACTCTTCTCAAAAGAATAAGGCTAGATTTTGTCTCACAGAGCTGAGTTTTGCTACAGAGCACAGGAAAATCTGGTACTTCAATGTGTAACATTTTATTGTTGTGTATTTCAAGAAAAACTTGTATAGGCTTCTCAAGTCAGTGAGAACACCTGTGTTATATTTTTGGGCTCATCCTTCCAGAAAAAAACCCTGAGCTTTAATCTTTGGTGGATCTAAAGCAAAGGTTACCAGGTTGGAGGGTGCAAAAATAATTGAAGTGACCCTGAAGAGTTTTGTGGGAGTGCTCTCTGACCCTTACAAATTCTCCTGCCTGCAAATGTGTTAGGAAGTCCTGTCCTCTATAGCAGAACTCCAGTGCTAGCCTAGATATTTTTATAGAGAAACTATCCTTGACTAAAAGACTGAGTGAGACAGCAGTTTCAGTGAGGGGCACTCTGCCTCCCAGCTTTTTGTAGTCTAAAACCTTCATCTGTTGCTGAAGGATGTGGGATGAGTGCAGAAAATTAAGGAAAGTACACTTTGTAACTCACAATAGTGTTGGTCTTAGAGGCTGCTGTAAAATAAAGGAATTTCGGTGGCATCTTAGTTTTCAGTCTAAAGAATCAGTTCTGCAGACTGATGATAACTAGCAGACATCTGCTAGTCTTTTAAAAAAAGTTGATATCCAAATTTTCAAATTTATAATTACTTTGGGAGATACAGTTTTAGATCATGTCAGTCTGACCAAACTGCAATTAATTGCTGTAATCCTTCAGGTACCATTTTTTATGTTCAAAGTGGAGAGGTGATTTCTGCCACTTACTGCTATGAAAAATAAAAGTGCTTTAGTTAATAATGGCTGTAATCAAGAGCTTGAAAACGTTTTCCAGGCTTGCTTTTTTCCTCATAAATTTGTATTCGTGTTCCCCAAAGCACCAATGGTACAAGTGTTGGTGTAGCAGATTGTGAAGCAGCAAATGTTGCACTGAAAAGCTTTGCTTGCTTCAAAACTGCTGAAATGCTGGTTCTCTGATGTCAGATCCCTGAGGTCTAACATTGTAGTGTCAATGATGTGTTTAAGCTTAGAGTGGTTTTGTGTCTTGTGGCTCTTAAAGCGTGTCTGGCATCTTAAGTATCAGTAGAAGCAGAGACTTTGTGAGTCAGAGTTGACTTTGCCGTGGGTGTGACAGCCAGGTGATTTTGTCCTGCCTTTGTGCTCTTCGTCTGAGGAGAGGAGATAGGAGTTTGTGTGATTAACTTTTTTCAAGGAACTCTTCATTGTGAGAGCTACTCAGGCTGAAAGGAGAATGGGATGGTTTGCACTCAGAGTTCTTTCCAAAGGAACTCCCCAGGAGAATACAGTGAATATTTTGAAATGATGTATGAATATTGGATGTCACCAGTTCTCACAGTTGAAAGTATAAATCTTGGGGCTGCTTTGAACCAGCCCTTTTATGTACAAGTGAAAGCAAAGATGTTACTTCTCAAATGGGGAATGTGAACATATCAGTCTGGGGGAGGGGAGCGAGTCCTGCCATTCTCCTTCAGTTGTATGCACCAAACGAATTTTTCTTTAAAATCCTGCTCATACTTCTTTGTTTTCCCTCAGGTGCTTTTTTGCCTTCTTAGTTTGGGCAATTGTGGCTGATGCCAGTGCATTCATTGTTTTTGTAGTGTCTACATAAATGCTGCTACTCTTGTGCTTTTGTTCTGTTGATACACCATAGTGTCGAAGGTACCTGTTCGTTTTTTGGTAATTAGATATCATCACTCTTGTGATTCAGATTCTCAGATTTCCTGTCAATTGTGTCAAGGTGTTTATTATGGAGTTGATGGTATTTTAGTTTCAAACGTTTAGACTCTTCTCTGTTAAATGCATCACATTGGTAGTAAACTGACACTCCTTTTCTTTCTCCTTTCAGCCAGATAATGAAATCTCTTCAGACTGCAATCATGTAAGTATTGCTTTGTTTATTCACTCTCTAGCTATGGCATTTGCACCTCCTGTCTCTTGTGAACCTGAGGTATTTTGCATAGTTTGGTGCTTTGCAAAGGCCATTAATCAGACACATTTGGGTTTCTGTACTGGCCTTTGGAGGAAGAACACAAGGTCACTTCTTTAACCCAGTATAACAACATTGGTCTTAATGGAGACTTCAGAGTGGAACATTTTTAAGAACTTTACAAACTGTACTTCTGTATCAGGGGAGGATAGCAGACGTCTTTCCTGTTTTATAAATGGGGGGTGGTTCCCGTGAGTTACTGGGAGCAGTGTGATGTGTTCCTTTTGGCAAAGATGTGAGCAGTACTGAATTTAAACTCTTAATTTCAGCTGTTGACACCTTCTGTATTACTTTCACAGCTGCTAAATTCTTAGACTCGTTTGGAAAATGCTGTGGGGGTGTGATATTTAGAGGCAGTTTGAGACACTTGGCTGGTTTTAGAACAGATTTCCTCTCAGCACTGTGTTTAACAGTGAGCAAACTATTAGCCAGTTTTTGGGCTGTCAAGCTGACTCTTCAAATCCCAAGACTCTCAAAAAAAGCATAAAATTCATTGCTGAGGTTGGTATTAGGTTTCTTTTGGTTTTTCTCATTTCTATTCTGTCAGCATACACCATATCAAGATCCTTAATTGCTTGGTTAGCCCTGAACACAGACAGACAAGTGCATGCCTCAGTGACAGTCTTGATTTTAGATGCTTGAGATGCTGTATTTTGTTTTGTTATTGGAAGATATATTCCAGAGATGAAGCCCAGTCATGCTGTACAACCAGTAATTTCCAACTGTGTTTATAAATTAACCTTTAGCACTGCCTGACTTCATTGGCAGCTGTAATTCTCTGTTGTGCAGGGTTGGATCAGATGAAGGGCACAACATGTTTCTGTTTAAGTCTTTCTGAAAAAGAGAAAACTCCAGTAATTAAAATGTATCTGCCTGACATTTAAATGTGCCAGCAAAAATTACCTGAATGAAGAAGAAATGGAGAATTTTAGAAGTCAAAGTTGAATCTTTCTTCTGCTGGATTAAGTGATGGCATCTCTGCTTCAAATATTGGGTGGATGTGGATTATGGAAGCCATTTGCAAATAGGAACTGTGGGCTAAGTCTCATTTTCCCAGGCACAAATTGAAGGGAGGTGATAAAAAACTGGACCACAGAGAGGTTGTCTCTTGTCCAAATGTTTTCTTTGCCTCTCTCTGCAGTACAATTGCTGATCATCCCCTGGAAAATACTGCCTAGTGGTAAAATCAGGAGTTTTAAGCTGCAAGTTTAACCTTCTTTCTGTTTGTGGGAAGGTTCATTTGGAGAGCATCACATTTTGAGACTCTCCAAAGTGTGAAATTGCAAATGCAGAGATGTATTCTCATCTTGTGTCCTCATTCTTGTACTTCCATTTCTGTCTGGGAGAGACCCACAGTGCTCTTTGCAAGGACAGGTTCCCCATTCATTCGCTTTTACCTACTAAACCTCACGTTTACAATTTACTCCATCTGTAACACCCTGGTTTACCATCACCTCCTTTTTTAGCTTTTCACAGCTCCAAAACCATAAGAGGTGTGGAAGGTGGTGCAGTTATGCTGATTCTGATTTTGGTTGTCTGTGCTTCCACCCTCCTGGAGTGGGTGTGAAACTTGTGTAGAGCATGTGATTGTTTTCCCAGTGTTTTGTGTACAATTGAAATGTCAAAGTAAAAGTTTGACCAAATTTTGTCTTTTTGATATTAATTTATCACCAAGGCAGAGTTTTTAAAATGAATTTTTACAATTTCTTAATCTTTAACTTAATGAAAAATATTTAAATGCTACTTAAGTTCCTGGAAAAACAGATGAGCTAATAGAGCAGTTCAGGCAACACTTCAGCTATTGATTTGTTGAGGTTTCATCACCCTACCCTGTATTTTTACTTTATGGTGCCTCAGGAGGACATCTGGGATGTGTGAATGTATGTACAGGGCGTGACTGGCCCAAAACTGATTCTTGCACAATGATCCTGTGCATTGAGGCTCCTTCATGAGCTCCTTGCTGGCTCCTGGCAGAACAGTTCTCCTTTCAGAGGCATTTTTGCAGTCTAAGTTCTAATGTATTGTTCTGCTTAGCAAAAGTGGACCTCCTGTAGATTTGAAATATATCCGCATACAAAAAGTTGTCTGGTCGCAGCCCTCACAGAAGGATCAAGCTGCTTTGTCTCCTGCCTTTTTTTGCTGGGTTTTTATAAGGTTTTCAGCACGACATCTGCTCATATTGAGGATTTAATTTTTTTCAGTTCACTTGCATCAGGCAGACACACCATGGCACACAAAGGTGTGGTGGGCTAAAGGTGTTGCTAAGTATGCAGCGGGTAGCAAGTTAACCCTGTCATTGTTTTATCCTCTCAGTTATGAAATATTCTTCATTTGTTATCTTTGCTTTTAATGAGTCAGCTCATGACCTTGCAGAGATTTCTGACAGCCTGAATTTGTTCAATATGAGAAAATTATTGCAGATATGAAGGGACAAAAGTGTTGTCAAGGAGACTTATTATTGATCATTTCACTGTAGAAAGATGATGATAGAGATTGGGTATAAATGCTGTTTCATTGTTTTCTGAATTAAAATATTTGTATTTCTCCACGGAAACCTCTTCAACTCCCTTTCTACAAATGCTTTCTCTACAGCTCTTGTGGAACTACAAGCTGAACCTGACTACAGATCCAAAGTTTGAATCCGTGGCCAGAGAAGTCTGCAAGTCCACTATTGCTGAGGTAAGCCAGGAGGAAGGCATGGCTGCTCTTGTGGCACTGAGACTTTCCTGTTTTCTTTGTGCATTAATAGCTGATTTGCTAATTAATAGCGAATTAATGGGTAAATAATGATTTGGGAAAGCTCTAGTATCATATACCAGACTTGTACCTGTAATTAATTCAATCTCCTTGCTGAAGAAGCCAGGTACCTTAGTGGTACTTGGCAAAGGGATGGGAGAAAGAAATGCTGAACTAACAGAATTGTTAGTTCAGAATTGTTCACCAGCTCCTACCAGACCTTTTGTCAGAAATTGGTTGTGAATTGGATTTTCTCCCTCTTTATCATGTGTGTGACATTTATAAGTGTGGTGTTGGAGCAGGGCTTCTGCTAAATTTAACATAAGGCTGGTTGTGGACTGTGTCTTGCTAGCAGAAGGGGTAAGCACACAGACATCAAATGATAATCAGCTTGAGGGGTTTTTTCAAGTTTTAAAGGATAGTTACTCCAAGGAGACCATGTAAGGAGCTTCTTCTTTTTAGGTTGTGCTAGGAGTCTGTGCTCTGTGTCTCAAGCATCCATTCTCCTTGGTACAGCTTCAAAGATGACTTGATCAATCATTTCTTTCCTTGTGCTCATGCTCAAGCTCTTGAGGCTGTGAGCTTATGCAGGAGCCAGCTGAGCTGAGGTCTCTTCCCCTGTTTGTGGTGGTTTTCAGCTGGACTTCAGGGAAGCAGTGGGAGCAAGGCTCTCTGCAGCTGTACAGGCTGCAGCTGACTTCATTCACTCACTGAGCCATGCTCTCAAAAACATGGTTTGTATCTCCACCAGTACAATGTGACCTAGCCATAAACTTGCCTTAAAAAAAAACATTTAGTCTGCTCTAGTGTAAGTTGTTTAGTGTAAGGAGAGATTAAAAAAAAACTTTTTAGAAGAAGGCTAGAAGATCAAAGAGTGGAGGACAGCTTGCATCAAAGGATTGTGTTGTAGTTTGGTACCTCCCAAAGGCAAACACTGCCAAATCTGTTGAATCCCACTTTTTTTCGATCATAGAAAGGATCATGTTTTTCTGTTTTTGGTCATATGGTGCTGCAGAATTTTTACAACCAAGGCATTCTTGGAAATGCTCTTTTAATAGTTTGTTTAATTACCATTTTTATACAGTGGCAGTCTGGCATTGCTGCAAACGATGCCCTGTAAATCTGGGACATTACATTTAAAAGCAGTGGGAAGAGTATACATAATTTCAGAATTTTGCCATTTGGTGAGGGTTTTTTAGTTAAAGAAAAAGATTAAATAAGGAACAATAATCTCATGTTTGATCTGGTGTTTAATACTGAGGCAGATACATAAACCATTCCTCTAACGTTTTTTGAAGATACTTCTACAAAACTCTTTTAAACAGATATATAGTGGGCATGTACTCCTCCCATACAATATTAACCTGTTCATATTTTCCTTAAATTGCCACTAACAGGTATAGGTGACTTTTTTGGGTGAATCAGCTCTCTTTAAAGTATTGCTTTGCACTAAGAACAAAATACAACTAGAAAAGCAATTCCTAGAAAAAGTCATTTGGGAAATGGTGGCTGACCCAACTGGGTATGGGTATGTTCTGAAAAGTGCACCTTTAATTTTATCAGCTAAATACAGTTTAAAATTCCAATTAATTTTCTTCTCAGCTGTTGTGGCTTTTCTAAGTTTTGGCAAGAGCTTTAACCTAGAATTATAGTTGGCTACCAGATAACAGTGATTGCTTCAGAAGTGGCCTGGCAATAACATGTTCAGTTGGTCCCTTCTGCAGTTCAGTGGCTCAGGCCAGGGAGCTCTGGGGCTGTTCCAAAGCCAGGCTCTTCCAAAAACAGCATGTTGCTGTTGTGGGCTGGTTTGGCTCACGGTAGTTGAGCTGAAGTAGGGCCAAACCAAAGATGCAGCTTTCTCAGAGAGCACTTGCTCAGCTCTGTCCTTTTCACCCTGCAAGCATCCTGTGTGTTTTCACTTTAAAATGTATTTTACACCTTATCTGTAACAATTACATTGACTTTAGTAACTGTTTTTCTAGTAGCTATGTAGATTAAATATAAACTGTTTCACCAGCCCACATCTGCCTTCAAATAATGATGTTTAAAATGTTGAATGTTTTGTCACACAAAGTAATGGCCTCATAAGCTGAGGCAGAGATCTGTTTTATTCGTCTAGTCTGACCTGTGTGAGTCTGTCACAGGGTGCCTTGAGTTATTCTTGTTTGAGTTAGAATATATCTTCCTAGAGACAGCTCTCCATTTTTTAAAATTTCCAATATAAATATTCCAACTTGGTATTTGAGAACTGAGAAAATGGTTTCCTGCCTGTTCCCTTAGCACTGCCCTTGCTTGTTATCTGAAACTGCCAGAATTATTGATTGCCATAGATCTTCCTTGAGATTGATGAGCCCTTCAGTATTTTTACAGGGACAAATCTTTGATGCAATCAAGTCAGCCCATGTATCTATTCCTTGCAAGCCTGTCAGCACTAAACCTCAGTGCTTGCCTGCCTGCCATGGGTTCTTCCTGCAGCATTATGACTGCAGTTTTCAGCACACTCCTGAGCAGGGGCCGCCAGAACTGTGCAAGTATTGAAGTGGATGGAGATGACCCATCTTCCTTGATCAGCATCTGACTCCGTTTATTGACTCAATCAGTCACTTTTTATAACCGTGTTAATTAAGTTCATGCATATTGCAAACCCGAGCTCACAATAGGTCAGAGATAACACACCAACCCCTCCTTTGTTTCCAATACCAAGATTTGTGTTCTCAAAACTTACTTTTACTTTCCCAAAACAGCCAAAGATAGAATATCCACTTGTTATGAGAAAGCTGCCTGAGAACTCTGGTATGCAAGGTTCTCAAGGCCTTCATGTTTGTCACTTTTACTTGTAATTAAAAACAACCTGAGAACTTCTACTGTTTACTGAAACAGGCTGTGAGAATTTGCTCCTCACAGATGCCTTCTAAGCCATTTCTGAAAAAATCTCCAACGTGCAAGTATTTCAGCATGGCCTTGCAAGGGTTAAAAAGTCTCAGTGCTCCTTGGAGCAAGGCATTGCACTGCTCCTATGACTGATTTCTCCAGGGACCATCCCTAACTGATCAGCAACCATGTTTTCCCCTTCTTTTGGAAAGACACTGTCAAAGCTGCCTGCATCTTTTGCTTCCAGAGCTGGTGGGTCTGGCCTGTCTGCTTCCCTGAGCAGTGCAGGCTGTGATTGTATTGGGGACCTGTCTGTTCTTGTATGCTGCTTTTCCAATCCCTGCACAGCTTTCAGCTTTGCTTAGCTGTGATTTTTACTTTTTTTAGACCACTGAGTAAAATGGTTTTAGTACCAACAATCAGTTCATGCAAGAGCCTCATAGAAAAGAATTTGATGAGAATTTTCCTTTATAGTATTTTTCATCTCCTAGCAAGTTATAAACAGCTCTATAAATAGTGTTGACTTTTGAATCAGTCTCACTTCTGGCCAAAATCTTATATTGTACTAGGTCAGGTGGCTAATGGGGGTCTAAGTATGATTTAGAGATGTTGTAATATTCTCAGTTTTCTAAATAAAGGTTTGTCAAACTAGCATTTTTCCTACAAGTCTACTTGATTGCAGGGGTTCAGTGTAATTATAAAAGACGATTATTGAGCAATAGAATTTATAATCCTCAAGGTCGCTGTGTTTGCTTTTTTTGGATGCTGGCACACATGAGATTTCTCATTTCTGAAATATTTTCAATTATTCTGACTTACTGAAAATCAAACTAAAGCCTAGAGGGTTTCTTTGCTAGCAGATTTTGAGGCTACAGATTGAAGTTTCTTTGAGGATTTTCTTATAAGGTTAAATTCATAAGCTGCAGCCCCTGTAATTTTCTTTTTTTTTTGTTTTTTTTTTTTTTTTAACAGATAAAGGAGTGTGCAGATGAACCAGTTGGTAAAGGGTTCTTGGTGTCGTGTTTGGTGGATCACAGAGGCAACATCACTGAGTACCAGTGCCATCAGTACATCACTAAAATGACAGCCATTATCTTCAGTGATTACCGCTTGATCTGTGGCTTCATGGATGACTGCAAAGCTGACATCAATCTCCTGAAATGTGGCAGCATTCGACCTGGAGAAAAGGTACCTGGAGAACATGTAGATTGCCAATAGACTTGTAAAAGTCATTCACTTCAGGAAACTGATGAGGAGGCTCTGCAGTTGTATTACTGTCTGACTTGCATCTGAGAAAATTCATGGTGTATCTCATCTGGCTGAAAAGGGTGATGTCCTGGTTGTTTGCAGTTCCTTTTTAATAAATGTGCATTCCTTCCTCTGTGAGGAACTGCTATGCAGAGACCTTCGTTTGTCTTTGCACAGCCCAGCACAGGTGATCTGGCAGGTAGTTGTCTCTTTGATGAGGCCTTCCAGAGCTTCACTCAGTACACTGAATCCAACAGTAAATGTAAGCAGGCCTATTGCTTGGCTTATTCCAGTCTGGTTGGGTCTGGCAGGAAGGTTATCAAGGTGGTGATGCCTGTGCTATAACCCTTTCTGCTTTCTCAGGCTGTAGTGGATTGATTGGATCAACAGCTTTTATCTGTTTGCTTGTCCTTTCCTCTGCCCCTACAAAATCAGTGGAAGGGCACAGGGTGTGTGGTATCACATTTTAGTAGTACACACTTTCCAGTACTGTCTTGGTTTTGCTAAATCAATGTTCTTTTGCCTGTGAGACTTCAGCAGAGGTTGATGCAAAGAACAGTTTATAGTGACTAGATATGGGATTATTTTCAAGGGCTGTCTTTCCCTGTCTACTTCAGCATAGCTAATGCAGCAAATGTGTAGTACTGCAGGAATGAGTGACTTTTTCCATGATAAGTTTTTATGTTTAGGGATAAAGTTAAAATTAGCCTATCAACTTCTTACAGTGCTTTTTAAATTGTAGCTTTTATGCTTATAAAAATTAGTCTTATTAATGAGCTATTAATGAGGGGTTTGCAATAAGATACACATTTTTTGGTTAAACAAAGAACCTTTCCTAGTTGTTTGAGATATTCACAGCTGTTAGCAGCTAGTGTATTAAATTTAATTTCTAGTGTGTTCCAGAAGACTTAGCTGAGCCAGAGACAGCATAAAAATAAAAAAATTTAAAAATTCATTTCTGGAAACAAGAACAAAAGCAACCACAAGCAGCAGGAACTTGGGTGAACTATAGGTTCAGACTGTTAACAGCTGAGTAACTTGCTTTCTCCATAAAGTAAAGGCTCTTTTCTAATAGTGGGCTGAAAGACCTCATGAAACGAGAATGAGAAATTGCTTTTAGTAATCAGTATAGAACCAGAAATGTGACATGAATCCTGTGTGTCAGGCCTGCATATTACCTGTGGCTTGACCAAATTTAAATAAATTAAAATACTTATGGTAGCACTGCAGGGATACAGCAGAGGGGATTTTGTGAGCATAAACCAAATCTCAAATGGTGGGAGTGAAGCCAGTGTGGGCAGCCCTGTGTGGGTAACTGAGCACAGCCCCCTGCACTGGTTGGTTCAGGGTGGCTGAGGCCACAAGGCACCAGAGAAAGGGAAACTTTGGCTCACCAAGTTTCTGAGGGCTAGCAAAGTGATCACTGACCAAACTTCTATGGGTTTTACTATGGCTCATGTATATTCCTCTCTTTCTTGGTATCCAACCCAGAATATTGTGCCTTGGTTTGAAAAAGTGTTGCAGCCTGTCATATATCTTTTGTTATGCTGTCATCCTTGGCACTTGGAGCAATTGAAGTACTCTATACTGCTATGGAAACAGCTATAAATGGCTATGCAAGCATTTCTTTTGTTGGTGTTCTGTTCTATCCCTTTGCTGCTTCAGAGAAATCTAATTTGCTTCCATCTGATGCTGGTTAAGGTTTTATTTTCCATGCTGTAGCTTCTGAGAGTTACCTGTAGAGAAACAGTCATTACCCTTTTGTATGACTGAAGGTAACTCTGAATTTAATAAATAGCACCTGGACACTTGAGGAGGAGGATGGGGGAAGAGATTCTCTCTCTTTTTTTGTGGAAATAACCACAGCCAGAACTGTGAACTCCATCTATATCAGGGAGCTAGGGGATTGCAGTGTGATAGCTTCATCTGAGTAAACTGGCATTTTTAACTGTGAAAGACACTTAGGTTGATAATCTGCAATTATGTTGCCCCTTGAAACTTCTCTGCTGGGTAGCCAGGTTCCTTTTCTATACTTCCTTTTTTTGTTTAAACTTGCTTGATACTTCCTAATTGAATTCTGTTCTTACTGAGTTTGTTGCTTCTGATGTGGTGGTTTCTGTGCTTTTTTTCTCACACATTTCTAGTTGGGTTTCTGCTCTGTAAGAGCAATAAAGTTGAGTTTAGAAGTCTCAATCTGACCCTAGACTTCATTTTGCTCTATGTAACAGAAAGGCTGTAGATGTGTCATTTGAAGGCATTAAGTTTTCTAACATGCCTGTGTTTGGAGGGATATGTCTTCATCTTTTCCCAACTGGTGGAGAAACATTTAATAGTAGTTTCAGTCACCTCTCCATGTGGCTGTTGCATTTTATAATGAATTTGATCTCCTGTTATTTTAAAGTTGTGTTATCTTCATGCAGTAGGGATCTAATTTGGAATTGAAATGGGTAATTGCAGTGGAGCTTTTCTCCTTCAGCTGCTGATTGAAATGAGCTGCTTTCCCAATCCTGGGAAAGGACCAGGATTGTATCAAACTCTAGTGGGTAGTGTGTGGTTGCCAGGGTGCTATTCAGTGATGTCCAAGCTGTAGCTGATTATTTGCCATAATGAAGGCTACATAAGTGTCATTTGCACATCTCTTGTAGTACTTTATCAGATAACAATATTTTTTCTAAAGGAAGACATTTTAGGAGACCGTTGTTTTCTTGTTTTAGTTTTGTTTTTTACCTCTAAGTGCTTTCAGTACAGTTGTTCTCTTCCCTTAGTTTCACAAAAGTACTGGGCACAGAGGGAGCTGAGTCTAAATGGGAAGAGATAACATTCAGCTCAGTCTTTGTTTACTCAGTGTAGCAGTGAACTGTCATCTGAAATACTGGGCATTAGCTAATCCAGGAGACATCCCAGCATCCCTGGTGTGTGGGTTAGCCAGGTGGAATGCTGACCTGGAGCTCCCAGGAGATCTCTTGGGTGGTTTTTGTTTTCCATAGCCTGGCTGCTCTGGCTCCAGTGGGTTGGCACAACTGTCCAGTGCAGGGTGCTGTGCTGATGAGACAGGTTATATTACTCTCCTGCCTGCTTCTTTTTACTCTTCATTCTCTTTTGGTCACTTTCCTAGCTTCTATCTGCAAGGCTGCAGCTGGAACAGATGTGTACTTGAGGCATGTCAGGTCTCAGACAGGATAAAATCCTTTCTGAGAAACTTCTGAAAAATGACAAAAAATCCCCAGCAGTTGCAAATCCTAAACTATACTGGGAAGAAAGTGAAATCTGTAATGGAAAATGAATAGTAAAGCCAATGTTTTTAAAATTCTGTTTTGGCCTAAAGCTGGATGCCTGGAGTTTGAATTTTAGTCAAAGCAATTAAAATCTCCCAGTATTGTGCTGAAGGGGATTTGCTTGGGCACATACATTTAGAACTAAATTTCATTCCTCTGTGTCTCAAAGTGCTGTGGGTCAGTACTGGAAAGGTGATTGTATCTTTTGTGGATCTAGGTATATCCTTTCAGAAAGCTATGAAGAGTTTCAGGGCTCTCCAGATAGATAATTATCTAGTATGTTTTACAGATATTTGCAAATTTCAGTTAAAATCCTACATTTAACACTTGATAGTGGTGGTGAAGCTATGTTCCAGGAACCACATGTGGTTTTTAGATTTGACTTCTTGTATTTCAGTGTATTGCTCCAGAAAAATTAGGGCTAGACTTTAACAGGCAACAGTTTTGTGGGAGTCCTGACTTCTGGAGTGAACTTAGAGATTTTCAACTCTGCAGTGGAGGTTTCTGGGAATGAGGGCTGCATAGAGGAAAATGGTTTTTAGTATTCATTCCACAGCAGAGCTGCAGCAGGTGTTCCACCCTTGTGCACACCAGGCAGCTGGTGCTGCAGCAGGGCTGGCACAGCTCATGCTGTGGGATGATGACCCTTGACTTTGGTGCCTCTGAAGCTGAGCTGGCCCCCCAGGACTGCTGGCACATGGAATGCAGGTGGGAACAGGCATCTCCTGAGGTGCAGAGCTGGGTGGTGATGCAGGTACCACCAGTGTGTGTCAAACTTGTCCTGCCATCCTTGGCACGAGCCTTGATTGCCAGCTGCTTTGGGGTGGTTGAGTGCAGCTGTACACACATTTGTTTTCCCTTTCAGTCTGCAATAAGGGATTGTACAATATTAAATACAGTAGGTGTTACCCTGTAATTAAAGCTTGAAGTGATATTTCTCTAAACCATGTTTGTAGAGTCCCATGCTCTGTTTGGCAGTAGTGTGGGTGTCTTCCTGCACTTTTGAGGAAATGAAGAGTCAGGCTCTCCTTAAAATTGCTTAACTAGTCAGCACCAGGGACCTGATCTGCCTGAAAATGAACCCCAGATCAGGCCAGTAAATCTTCAAACAGTGTCATGTGGGCACAGGAGCCTTAAGGAGGTGTGTAAATGCTTGATGGGTGGAGGAAAGGATTAGAGGGGCCAGATGGGTTGGTTTGTGTGTGTTTCTGTTGAGTCTGACATGTTTTAAAATTGCTCTGACACAGGACAGCAGAGTAGCCAGCACTTCAGGATGATCTGCCCTAATGTGAAATCTCTATTAGCAAAGGAATGTAGTAGATGAGCCATTTCATGTTGTGTCCCTAAAGTGTAACAGCAAACATCCAGCACATGGAAACCTGCTTTCCAGATTTCCTATAAAAGATAGGTTTACTTCCATATATGATATGGCTCTGACCAGGAGTCTAAACCCACACTGCAATAAACCAGGAAACTTCTGATTTTCCTAGCAGGAAAAGCTTGCCTTCTGCCCTTCTTGCTAGCTTGCAGGGCAAAGCTGCAGGTGAGTGAAAGTAACCTTGGTTTGCCTTGCCTCCCAGCTGCAACTTCACTTAGGCAGGAGCAAAAAATGTGCCACAGGAGCTTAAAATGGTTGTTTTCAATCATTCCCACTTGACATCTTCTCAGCTGTAGTTACTACCCGTGACTGACCAGGAGAGTTTGCAGAACAGTGTTTGTGTTTGATGTGGTTATGGATAAATGGCAATTTTAAGTGACGTGGCAAATTTACTTCTGAGTTCTATTCCTCAGAATCCAGATCTGAGGATCAGTCCTAAAGGGACTGTTGGTATATAATTATATTTCTTCAAAGATACTTACTCAGCATATGGAATTGGCCAGTTCTCATTCAAAGGAGCAAACCAAAATAAGGAATTTTGGGGGGTGTGAGTTTTAGGTTTTCTGCTTTCTTTTTTTTTCTTGTAGGGGAAAACTGCTTTTAGCCTTTTTAAACTGGTGATATTTCTGGGTTGTGTTTACAAGTTAACAAATAATCAACCAATTCTGCTTGTGCTTTAAGTGTAGCAGAACTAAGGCAGGAATCAAAGGCTGCCTCTGTAAGCAGACACGTCAGAACAAAAAGATTGAGGAGAGCTGTGTGTATCATGGACATGTTTTCTGGAGCCTGCTCTCTTACTCATGCTCCTGCAGCAGCAGTGGATGATCTGCTTGACAGAGCAAGCTGAAGGGATGGCTCCTAAGTGGTGACTGCAAATGCCAGGCTGGGTGATTCAGCTGAATGTGAACATGCATGCCTTGTTGCATTCTCAGACAGTGTAAGTGTAGTGGCAATATCCTCTCACAGCAGAGCAGCATTAAATAAGGTGGCCTTCACATGAAAAACTTGCAGAAGCCTTGAGAAATTTGTACCTGTAGAGTCCTTTAGAGGAACCAGACCTTCTACAGGGGTATGGAGGGGGCAGGGTTCTCTTTGTGAACACATACTGAGGATATGGGAGGCTAAATGGAGCTTTGCTGAGCTTTGCCCTGTTCCTCCAGGCTTTTGAACAAAGCACAGGCTCTCTGTGTTTATTGGCAGTTACTACTCATAGTCCAGTCTTGTTTCCAGGCCTGCAGGACAGTGGATGTGGTGCACAGCACTGGGCCAGAACTGCTTTTTCAGAGACCTCTGTCTGCTCTTGAGTGCTTTGCATTTTTTTATTCTCCTAGTGGAGGAATTGAGAAGCCTTGATTGGTCAAAGCTCCTTTGTGGCCTTATTTACATCACAAATTTTCACCATCCAAACTGAAGCCTTGTCTTGGCATGGCAAAACTATGATTTTTCTCTCCCCAAGCATTTTCTTAATGTGATGCTGATCCTTGCTGTTGCCATGGTGCCAAGAAAGCTGTGTCAGATTAAAGATAATTTGGCTGTTTTGGTAAACTGCTCTGAGCAGTGTGACTAAGTAGTGATAATCTCATTAAGTCACATTAAAACAAGCCCAGAGCATTGGAGGGGGGGATTTCATGGTGACCATCAGTGGGATAGTGATGTGTAAAGTGTGGTTAGTACAGGTCTTAATTGTTGCCTCCTCTGAATTTAAATGAGATTCAGGCTGGATGTTGGGAAGTCTATATGTAGACAGTTTGTTGCTTAATTGAAGTGGTGCTTAGCCAGAATCACAGCTCACTTGATTATGTAAAAGCTTGGATACAGGTCTCTTGTTCTCCCATAGGATGCTCACTCACAAGGAGAGGTGGTGGCATGCCTGGAAAAAGGCCTGGTGAAAGAGGCAGAGGAGACTGACCCTCGAATCCAGGTTTCTGACCAGTGTAAGAAGGCAATTCTCCGAGTGGCTGAGCTCTCTTCCGATGACTTCCACCTGGACCGCCATCTCTACTTTGCATGCCGAGATGACAGAGAGCGCTTCTGTGAAAATGTGAGTGCTTTCCTCTTCCTTTCTCTCTACAGGAATCCATTAAAAAAGCCCAGAACCTCTCTGGACAAAGCAGTGAAGGGAACTGTAGGCTGCAGCCTGAGTGATATTGTGTAATACTAAAAATAGACACCCTGTAACTGTCATTTTGCAGTAATTCCAGCATTAATTCATTCACCCAACAAACACACGTTATTCCCTATGAGTTAGTGAACTGAATTGGCATAAATGGTTTAAGGGGCATGAGAGCTGGTGTGACAGGGAGTGGGGGAGGAAAGGCAGAGGTGAGTGACCACTCCTTTCTACAGCTGTGAGCTGTTGCACAAAGCCTGGCCTGACTGTACTTGAAGCACTTTTTATGCCTAGCATGAGCTGCATTGTTCAGTCTCAGCTTGTATTGGCTGAGAATTGTTACACTGAATGGGTGATGAGCATGACCAGATTTTTTTTATGCAATAGAATTTAAAGGACTTTTATTGCATACAAACTATTGGTGTCATTTGAAATACTAACTCGAATATATTATTAGTTTAAAAAAATCTCCTCAGGTGTAGTTTAGCCTGCTTGTCAAATGTTACAAGTATTATCTTTAAGGGTAACTGTTACTGTTCTGTTTCACAGACTCAGGCTGGGGAAGGCCGAGTGTACAAGTGCCTCTTTAATCACAAGTTTGAAGAATCAATGAGTGAAAAGGTAAGTATCCTAGTGAGACAAATCCTTACTGCAGAAATCATCAGATCACTCCTCAGTCCAGGCTGCATTATTCTTTTCCAGTGTTAAGGAAAATGTCATCTTCCTAGCCAGATAATCAGCTAGTTTAACAAATGCTTTTACTTTGATATTTTTGTGTTTCAAGTTTCAGTCTTTCAAGTAAAGGATTTAAATAAATCAAAGCTTTTGGGTGGGTAATTTGGAGAGGCAAGACATGGAGCTGAAGTGGCAGCATTGTGATTGACTGTTTAAAGTAGCAGTCACAGCATGCTGGGTTAAGCCTTGGATAAATGGTGTTCTAATTGTACAGATTAAAAACAAAAAGAAGCTGAGTTTCTTTCACTTGTGTTTTTAAGGCTGTTTTCAAGCATCACATTCTGTGTGGGAAGGATGCACGGTTCAGTGACTGAACAGAAGTTTTCCTTCTGGTTTTCTTGAAGATGTGGTTTTCAAAAACAGCAAAAAAATGTTCTTGAAAGCTAGTTCCGAAAAGGTTGTGTTGGTGTAGGTGCTTTGTAAAGGCAGCAGTGCCTTCAGTAATTTTGGAAGCAGCATCATAGTGTCTGGGATTATGTGGAATTGTAATCTGTAGGGAAGGATGTGAAGATGAGTATTTGTAAAGATCTCCTCCAAGAAGGTCTGCTGAAGGAGCCTGACTCAGAGTGCTGAAGGGATCAGACTAATTTCTTTTTTGTTAATTGCATTAGCTGTCTGACAGCTTGGTTCCAATTAACAAATTCAAATCTGAACAAGTGATCTCTGAGGGCTTTAAACAGAGCTCCATTTTGTAGAAGTGTGTTACTGAAATGAACTGCTGCTGTTGCTTAAGCTCTGTTTAGTTATACTGGGACACTGGCAGTTTGTGAAGGGTGTTTTCCATGATCAGCTGACTGAGGTATGAATGTAAGATGCAGAGAGGTTACACTGAGCTGCAGCAGATGACTTCATAGAGAGAGAGAGGGGTGGATGCTCTGAGGATGCAGTTTGCAGAGCAGAAGGAGCACTAAATGTAGTTCTCACTCTTGTAGCTGCCAAGGTTGGACCATCTGCGAAGTCACTGGTTTTGTAGAAGCTGTTACCCAGCAAAGAGTTCCTCCTTGCCAGCTGCTGCACACACATGTAGCCAGCAATAGCTGCTGGTGGGTGGCTTGCTTTGTGTCATCCAGAACTGGCTCCTGGGCTGTGTCCAGCCTTTCCCTGTTTCAGGTGATGAGCTATCTGCAAGCCTGTATCTCCCTGTGTCCAGAGCTGGAAATTTGTCCAGTCCCAAGGTCTGGGACTGCACAGGAGCATGAAAGATGGAGTGGGAATATCTTGGACTAGGGCGTTCCAGGTCCTCAAGTAGGTGTGGGAAGAAGAGGATGAAGTCAAAAACCTGATGTAAGAAAGTGGGGAGCAGGTTCTAGGACTTTCCTGTTCCTTGTGCCAAGATTGCTCCCTCATTCCCCTACTCTACATATTCACTGTTTTCGTTCCTTTCAAGTGGGCTGGGAATGGACAAATTTGCTTGAGCTATTCTGAGTTATCTGCTGCCCTCAGATTTAATTTTCACATAATTTAAACCAAAAGCTATGAAGTGTAGCTGTGCTTTTACAGGTCCTTTTTTGGTTGAAATTTAGAGGGTTGTTCTTGCAGCTGCTGGGTTCAGGTTTGGCCACAGTGCATCCTCATGAACCTCATCAGTTGTGGAAAATGGCTGGAAATTCCCACGGTTAGACTTTTATCTGCTTCATCTGCTCAGTGCATTGCAGAGCAAATCCAAGAAACACATTATTTTGTAAATGCAACTGGAAAAAGTTATTTCTTGAGGGCATGGGGTGAGCATGTACCACAGCTGGGCTAAATGTCAGCAACTGCTCCTAGTTACCACGAATGAGTCACGCTCTTCACAAAAGGCTGGATGAATGTGCAGTTCTGAGAACTGCTCTGCAGAGAGCTGCTCCCTTTGAAACCCCTGATCTGTTGACCCTGGTGTGCGTTGTTAACTGTGTGGTTTCTATGAGACAAATGAAATTTAGCTGCAGTCCAGCTTAAATTCATGAATTTAAAAATATCGTTTGTTTTCTGAGACGCAACTTGAAAACTTGCCAGCAGCAGGTTCCAGCTCTCTGCCCCCAGCACAGCAGCTCATTCACCACCCCACTGTGTCTCCTGCAGTGTCGTGATGCTCTCACCACCCGCCAGAAGCTCATTGCCCAGGACTACAAGGTCAGCTACTCGCTGGCCAAGTCCTGTAAGAGCGACCTGAAGAAATATCGCTGCAACGTGGAGAACCTGCCCCGCTCTCGGGAGGCCCGGCTCTCCTACCTGCTCATGTGCTTGGAGTCTGCTGTGCACAGAGGTAAGTGCACTTCAAGACTTGCTGGGACCTTCAGTTTAAATTCAGGGACCTTCAGCTTCGATGTGTATTTACAGTCCCCTTCTCCTCTTTCCAAACTTTGTTTCCAAGGCGAATTTCCTCTCATGGTGCTTTCATCGCTGTTGTTTTGATGATCAGAATAGCTGAGTAACCCCCTCTGCCACTGACTCCTTTTGTGCAGACAAGAAGTTTAAAATGCAAAATAGCAAATCCCACTTGGACTGCTGATGTGTAGTTGCAAATCCTTCTATTCACTGTGAATTCAAGCAGCTCTTTTCCTCCATTGTGTAGCAAGCATTAAATATGCTACAAGGTTAAAACACAGAATAGAGAATCTGTTTATCCTCACTCAGGGAAAACCAGGGATACTAAGTCCCCCGCCTGTTCTAAATAATGTCTTTTCTTGCAGTTCAGTAGCTTGAGTAAATACCTTAATTTCTCTGACTCTGGTTTTTGCCTATGTAGAAAGAAGGTAAGTGTGAGAATATTATTTTTGATCATTTAAGTTAATGAAAGCTGGAGGTGTCCTAACATCAGCTGCTGTCTCCAAAGGCATCAGAAGGCTCAGTGCAGCTGGACCATGCTAAAGGTTCTCTGTGAAATTGCCACAATATGAAACAATGTGTTAGATCCTCTAGATCTGCACTGTTTGTTCCTCTAGAGCTGCTTGTTTTCCCTCCTGGCACGCAGCTGGGTGGTTTCAGAGTGAGCAGTGCATGCTGCAGTGCCTCTGGCAAGGGATGGAAAGGCTGCCATAATTCCATAAGCACTCTGCATTTGTGAGTTTGGATAACTCATTGCTTCTGATTGATGTGGAAATGATGTGCCCTGTTAGTAGAAAAGTTGTGGTTTGGGGTGTTGGTTTTTTTTTTCCACTTCTCCCTGCAGTAGGGCAGGTGGTTTCCTGAATTGCATGCAGAAAACTGCTGTTCAGCTGTTCAATTTCATGGTGGAACAGGTTCTGCAGTGTCTCATGCATGAGGCATAGCCCAGGAGGAACACTAATTATTCCACACAGCACTATGTACATGTGTTACAGCACCTGGCAGCCCCTGTTGGGGTGTCCTCTGTTCCATGGGATGATGTTCACATATAAATAGGTTGTGATGGGGACTGCAGGAAAGCTTATAGCAGATCTAAACATTTACTACAGCAATATTCCTGTGCAGCTGCACTGGTTTGTTGGACACTCTATATGCACTCTTGTTTAAGTCTGAGTTTTGTCTTCCTGAGCATTTATGTACTATTGCCCTAGAGAACCTTTTCATTGGAGAAAATGTTTAACCTGCTGTCCAAACAAATTCCTCTCCCAGTTACATACCAAGCTGGTGAGCCTACCAAAGGTGACTTCTGTGAGAAAAGGAACCCTTGAGCATGTGGGGAAAAGCTGACTTGTGCTACAGAACTGCAGATCCATGAGCGCTTTCAGCTGTTCTTCAGAAGTCACTCCTGTAATGTGAAATCCAAAATCAAATTGTCCTAATCTTTCTTTTTTAAAAAACCTGTGTTAAATCCATAGATTTAACACAGGTTAGATCCACTGGCTATATTTTACAGGGTTGTTTAAAAGACAGGAGCTACCACAACCACTGGTTTATTCCCCCGCACGAATGCTCCAGCACCTTTCTCTTAGTCTGGTGTTGTTCAGAGTGTGGACATGTCCCTGCTAGTAGCACAGGTCTGCTAAGGAGAGCTCTGCTAAGCACTGCTCCTAAATCACATCCTCTTCTCTTGGCCAGGTCGGCAGGTGAGCAGTGAGTGCCAGGGCGAGATGCTGGATTACCGGCGCATGCTGATGGAGGATTTCTCGCTGAGCCCCGAGATCATCCTGAGCTGCCGCGGGGAGATCGAGCACCACTGCTCGGGGCTGCACCGCAAGGGCCGCACCCTGCACTGCCTCATGAAGGTGGTGCGTGGGGAGAAGGGCAACGTGGGCCTCAACTGTCAGCAGGCAGTAAGCAGCTTCTTAGCACTTCACTCAGTTTGCTCAGTTGGTAAAAGCACTGATTTCTGTCAGGGTTTTGCCTTGTGATGGAGGTTCTGCTGAAGTCAGCCTGGCTCTGCTGGGTGCCGCTGAGTGCCTGAAGCAGTTGTGTAATTGCCATGCTGTGAACTTGGTGTGTAGCAAGGGTAAGGGTGGTGGTTTTCCCCTCAAAAAATGCATTTTGGATTGTTGTGCCCTGGGCTTTTTATTGGATCTTCTGTAGTTCTTCTCCACCCGCTTTGAAGTAATGGAAATCTCTCCTGGGTGCAAGGTGTAGGGAAACTTGCCTTTTACAGTTCTAAAACATTCCTTGTCCTTCCCTTTTCTCCCTCTCGTTCCCTTTCCCCCCTGTGCCCTGTCCTTGGAAATGCACAAAACCTTTCAAAGCACCTTCCCATTCAGTTTTACTTCTTCTATTTCATTCAGCTTTAATGATGGAAATGGAACTTTGGGGGCAGGGAGGTACAACAGACTGCTCTGTGTTGATGTACTTTCAGCCACTGAAGGAAATGCCATTTTCCTCCAAACTACCTCTGTAAAATAGGATATTTCCTTTTGCCTTCTTTTAACTCCATTTTGGCCCAAATACATCCTGCTTATCATTTCTTTAAATTGAAAACAATTTCATTTTTGTTCGAACTCATTAGTGTTTTTTTAATATGAAATTACATTTTTGTACTTATACTTGGGTTTGGTTTTAATGACCCATGAGCCCAAAAAAGTGACATCAATGATAAAAATGGCAAGGGAGCATTACTGCTGATGTTGGAATATGAGGAGATGTATGCTCTTGACTTCTTTTAATAAACAGAGCCACTGTTCTCTACATTTTTGTTTTAAATGTAGCTTAAAACTTGAGCCTCAAATGATGCCAGTTTTTGTGTGTTATCAAAGATAAATTGATAGCTGTTAAAATTTTCTAAGTCATAGGGTGTTTTTGTGATGAAGCTTATTTCTGCATAAATACCAGGTGTACTGGTGCAGCAGCTGTACAGTTTGAGTCATTCCTGCAGGGATCTGTAGTGCATGACTTAAGCTTTACAGCCTTTGTGTGAAAAACTGAATATTTCTATTTAAATAGGAAAGTGAAACTGCTGCTTCAGAATTTCATTATTTGGAAATATTCATAACATTTAATATTGTTAATATTGGGAGTAACTTTTAGATCATGACATTCATGTTCAGAACAAGTTATTAATCAAAACAGGAGTACCCCAAAAGTGATATTGGATTTCAGCTTTCAGAGAAAAATATCTTTAGAAATTTAGGGCAAGTTTGGAGGTTTTTTAGTTCTCTTATACTTAAGCTACTGTTTTATTTTTTTACAGTAAGTTGATGCAATAGTAAATAGGATTGTCCATGAGTCCCCCTTCAAGTGAAATGTGTTTGTTCTCTGGTCAAAGGACAGGAGAAAGCAAATTAAATGTTGATTTTATACCTTCATTAAGCTTGTCTGGATTTTTATGGGCAAGAGGAAATAGATGATTGCAAGAACAGGATAAACATTCCAATGTTCTGAGTTTCTGAAGACTGACATGGTACTACTGTATAGCTGCCTACAACTTTTAAGTACTAAAGAATTGATTGTTCTTAATTTTTGTATTTGAATTGTAAGGGTTGCTCAGCTGTCAATGGCTTTGTTGTGTTTTGACTTAATGTGTTAGAATGAGCTTTCTGCTTTTACCTTTAAAGGTAGATAAATTATCTTTGCAAGGAAGAGAATATTGTGTGAAGCTCTTACAGATACTGTGCAATTTGGGCTAGAGACTTCAACTGCTTGTAACGTGAGGTTGGCCCGTATGGCAATCCCTGAAGAAGGGAAGTTAGAGATCCATCCTTCAGAGTAAGCTGGGGCCATTTCAGTTCTTTTTGGGTACCTAGAGAGCACCTTTGGTGTGTGGTTTGCTGTGGCTCTTGATGATGGAGCAGTTGTCTGTGGTGCCCCTACCCTATATTTTCACTTGTAGAAAGAGGAAAACAGCAGAAGTGCTCTGGGATGGTCCCAGCAGAGCTTGCTGCAGTGCCTTGGGTCCATCTCCAGGTATTGTGTTTTCCACAGAGTAAAAAACTCACGTCCTTGTGCTTTTAGCAGTATCATTAGCTCATGCTAATACAGCACCTTGATTTCTTGACTAACTCAAAGCAACAGGTGTTATCCTGAAATTCTTCCTTGTAGAAGCTCTGTGTCCCGACACACCTGCCTAGAAAGTTTGCCAGAGGCAATTGGAAGGGGAAACCTCTGGTTTGGATCTGGTTTTACTTCCTGTCCTGCCTGTGAAGGTTTGCTCTGATTGTGCTTGTCCTATGAAAGGAAGACATCAGCCCATCTGCCAGAAACAATATAAAGAATCCTAAAACAACAAAGCACAACCAAAGAACCTCCATTTCAATTTCCTGCAAGAGCATTGACTAGTACCTTTTCCTGCAGGTGGATTATGAGTGATTATTTGTATTTAAAATTTTGAACAAAATGCACTGTTAGACATTCTCAAACCCCCAGTATTTTAATTTGAGAAGTTCCATTTCTTGTGAGACACCTCAGCCAGAGTGATCTTGCATGTGGGAGTCTGTGCTCACACCTATCTGCTGTTGTGCAGGAAGCACATCTAGACCCAAATGTCAGAGCTGTGTGGGGGCTTAGTCTCCATTTGAGTGGTGAACTTGCCAAAATGCTAAAGCTGTGTGAATGGTAGAGGAGCAATGGCTTTCTGTAAGTTTTCAAGTTTGTAAGTTAGAATGAGGGCCCCTGGGTGTGTGCTGAGCCTCATAAAGGATCCTGCCCACAGGGAGGGTGTGTGTGCTGTGGGAAGTCATCAGATAGGAGATAGTATCACTTAATTGTGAGCATCAGCCCTTCAAAGGGCTGCAGCTGTACTGGCAGGGTCTAGCATCTCTGGTGTTGCTTGATGAAAGCAATATTTTATATTAGAGCTGTTGATAAATTGTTTTTCAAATAAGTGGCTTCTATGTTGCCCTGGTCTTACTTTTGGGGTTTTTTCAATTCAGACCTTTGAGTGTATAAAACTCCAATCCCTGCTTAAAGGGCATATATTTCTTGCTTCCAACTTCTGAGCTGTTAAATTGGTAGTTCATTGTAAATTTAGTTCCATGCCCAAGATAAACGTTCAGAGCATTGTAAAGTTTATCCAGCTGCTTTTCAGCTCTAAGGGTTTGTTGTGTGAGGGAGGAAAAATCCTATACAACCTTCACTTCTATCACTGGTGCCAAATTATTCCTCCTTCCCTGCAGTCAGGGCAGCTGGCTTGGTGCTGCACATCGTGCATGTGGTTGAGCATTAAGGTCAGGAATTCTGCAGTAGTGCCCAGAACAGGGTGGAGGGATAAGGAGGTGCTTCAGTTCTTCTGAGCTGTGGTACCTGGTGTGCTTTGGCCTCTTCCACTTGATAGCAACAAAAATACCAATTAACTGAAACCTGAGAAAGAATCTTCCTACATAATGCTCTGGCCAGTTTAATTTATCTCTGTGTGTAAGAAAGTGTTGGGTTTGAGATTCTATTCACCCATCTTGTAAGTCACCTGGCTTGAAGTAATCCCAGAAGTTTACACACACAGAGTATTCCCCATCCATGCAGGCTGTCTGAGTTTCTGCACCAGCAAAACCATAATATTCTTCGTCCTCTTGCAGTGACTCTTAGAAAGTTTGTAAAGAACACATCCACTTAAGGTTTGACTTTAAGATTCTATTTGACCACTGTCAGAGATGTATAAAATGCTTATATTATTATTATTATTATTATTATTATTATTATTATTATTATTATTATTATTTTAAAATGAAAATATCTCAAGAATTTAGATAAATAGTGCTCTTCTCAGCTGCCTGCATCCCTTAGAAGCTGAGGCTGGGCATAATTAAGAGCAAGTTGCAGGAAATCCTGTGTTCCTCCCAGGCAATCTGTGGTCCCTCCTCATGACTGAAACTTTCCCATTGGATAAATAGTGCTAGCTTGTATTTTCTCCAGTTCTCTGATGCTTTTTTCTTGCCTGTGTTTTGTGATGTTAGGGCTTTGCCCCTGAGAGTTTCCTGGGTGGTGTTTAGGTGCAGACTTTGAAAGGTGGAGGATAAAATTGTAGCTGTGCTTTTGATTTAGTTGGGCTGAGGGCCAGTGACAAAAATCATTAACTAAGTGTCAAGATGTTAAGAGCATATAGACCATTTGATGTTGGTGTGCAGTTGCCTTCTCAGCAACCTCTCTTCCCCCCCCCGCCCCCCTTCAAATTTGTCAGCTGAAAATGTTTGCCTGCCAAATGGTGATACCAATCTGCCTTTCATCAGTCTTTGGAAATCTACAGCTTGATGGAAAATGAAGTAGGGCATGGGGATCCTTGGCTGAGTTAAGGTCCAGAAGCTATCCTTATCCCAAAACTGAGATTTACCCAAATTCTCTCCCCCTGGCCCAGCAGACATCTCCCAAATTAATGTTCAGCTGGTATGGACTGTGTCCACATTTGATTTTGTAACATAGTGCTAAGCATGCTAAGTGATGTTTCCTTATTAAAAAGAGAATTGTTTTTCTGCAGCTTTTGTCAGAATACTTGTTTCACAAGAAGAAAAGATAAAAAACTGGTTTAAACTTTGTAGATAGGCACACTATCTTAAGACATTGATTCAGGTTTCAGTTGTAAATAGTATTCAGGAAAATACAAAAAATTTGTGCGTTGGGTAATGTCAGCCTTACAGTATGAGGCTACCATCAAAGCATAAGACAGATCAAAAATACAGTAAGCAAATAAAATTTGACCTGTTCTGTTCTGTTAATTGGTATGTAAGTAGTCCAAGCTCATGCCTGACCTTCAGTGTGTAACTGGTCTCATACAATGTTCCTGGGCTACTTCATAATGATAATTAGGGTCCAGCAGTGTGGAGTTGGCAGCACAAGCTCTTAAAATAAAACACTGCAGAGCAGAGTTCATACATTATGGTGTTGTTACTGGCACAGAATTACCACAGTGAGAGATTGTAAGTAGTCTCATTTACGTCTTTAACATTTGTTTTCCTGTCCACAATTCCTTTCTTCAGCTTCAAACCCTGATTCAGGAGACGGACCCCGGTGCCGATTATCGCATCGACCGCGCGCTGAACGAGGCCTGCGAGTCGGTGATCCAGACAGCCTGCAAGCACATACGGTCTGGAGACCCCATGTAGGTGCCTCTCACTCAGAGCTGGGGCTGTTTTCCCTGTTGGGCATCCATGAAGGTTGTGTGGCTGACCAGTAGAGACACTGAAACCTATCCAGACTAGTTACTCCAGAGCAGTCATGCAGAGCTGCACTGGGATGTCTCTGTTCTTGCTGGACAAGCAGGCCAGCGTTTTTATAGGACTGGTTGAGCACTGGTGAAGGATGTAGCTTTCACAGGCACTTAGACTTAAGTTTGTAACATTTGATGTGCTAATTTCTCTAACCATGCAAGTCTCAAGCAGTATCACAAAGTGACAAACCTGGAAAGGCCAGATAAGCAAACCCATACTGCAGAGACAGGTTTCTCCTTTGTCTTCAGGTCTGATAATGTATTCTCCCCTGGGCCAGATTGTTGATGGAATACTCCTTATGATTTTGTTGTATATCAGACTTGCTGAGATAACTGAAACAATGGAACATAACAAATACAAATCTGATATACACTTGTTTTAGATTTAATCTTTTTGAAGGAAGAGAAAGATCTTCACTGAGTTTCAACATCTTATCTCTGGTTCACTGGACGACTGATTTGGCAACACCAGCTGTTACAGGGAAGCTCAGCATTATTTTAACAGTCTGTGGCCTGACTTTTTCTTGTTTGCAGGATTCTGTCTTGCCTGATGGAGCACTTGTATACTGAGAAAATGGTAGAAGACTGTGAGCATAGGCTCCTGGAGCTCCAGTATTTTATATCTCGTGACTGGAAGTGAGTACTGTAAAACAAGATTTATCTTCACTTGTTGTTTGTAATAAGTGTTTGTATGCATTAGCAGTTCCTTGTAAAACAGTAGAGCTTGTGGCTGTTCAGAAGAGGACTTTCAAGTATGCCAGGTGAGTAGGGTGTTAATGCTTGTGTAGAACACTAAAAGCAAAAGCTGCTTAGAAAAGGTGTGATGCCACTTAAATCAGGTACTTTTTTAGAAGTGATGCAGCCTTAAAAACTTCTCAAGTTTGAGTTCTAAAATTGTTGCATCTTTGATTAAAGAATTCTGTCTGACACTATTGAATATGAAGGTCACTTTCTCTGCAGGTGGCAGCCAGTTGTATGTACTCCAAGTGCTACAATATGGAACTTAAGGAAACAAAGTTTTTAAGTATAACAAAGACTCACTGTGTGAGAAGCTTCCTGCCTCCATTTCTCCCTTTTTTCAATTTCTCTGTGTGATTACAGCCTGTAGAGCAGATGTAAAACCCTTCAGAGCACTACTTTTCCATCTTTCTCATCCAGACATGGCAGTGCTTTGTTTTAAACACATACAAAGCCCCTTGTGTCAGTATTGGTTAGGATGAGGAGAGAATAAATTTGATAAACGTGACCAGTGAGGAAAGAATAAGTGTTTGGCTTGTCTTCTAAAGAAGATTGAGAGGTGAGGAAATAGAGTACATTAAATGGGGTTGCTGCAAGAAATTGAATCATTGTTCTCAGTGGCCACAAAGAGTGTAAGGCAAGAAGTCCTGGGCTTTGATTACTGCAAGGAGTGTTCAAATCAAACATTGAGAAAATCTTGACTCAGAGCAAGTCGTGTATTGATGGACAGCATTGCCAGTAGCTGAGAACTGATGTGCTCTGTGAATCTTCTGCTTTTATAGATGGGGCTTTATGGAGCAGGGAGTTTAAGGCTTTTTGGCTGTTCATTTAGTCATCTGAGTAATTATCTCCATAGGTAGACAAGAATACTTAATTTTCCCCCCCTTCCTGTTTATCTTCATTGCTGGGTCTCCTGCCTGTACTGTTTCCAGGAGGTAATTCATTGTTTGAGTCAAACTTAAATGATTGGAAGAAGGAAGACTGATTATTTGCATTTTCCTGGGAGTAAGAATAATTCTAATTCATAATGCAGGCTGGGCAGCATTTGCTTATCTTTGTTTAACCACTGTTCCCCAGAACTGGCTTATGCATCTGTTGCACTGACTTTGTGCCTCAGACAGATGCACAGAGTAGTAGGGGTTTGGTTGATACCTTTATCATTATCTATATCATTGTGTCCACTGAAATCACTTGATTTTTTTTTTCCTGTAGTGTTTTATAAATATGAAAATTCCATTTTGGAAGGCTAGCAATATCTCACTTAGCTTTCATGTATTAGACTTCATCTTAAGAGATCTGCACTTATATGCAAAGCAGGGGCACTGAGTTTGCAGTTGGCTCAAATCCAGGGCAGACAGAATCAATCCAACTCAGATTTTTATGGAAATGATGTTTCAGAATGGCAGCAGTACAAAGTGTAAGATATTACACCAGCAAAATGTGGTATGTACCTGCCTTTCTGCTTCTTCAGGGCATCAAGGAGATGATTTCTTTTCTCATGTGTCAGCATTTGGCTGGCATACTGCAGAAGAAAATGGGAGGTGCTTCGGGAAGAGTTGAAAATTTGATCTGTAATTAAATATTTTGGTGTTACTTAGGGAGTTGATTCCAAATTGAGTTGAGGCCACCTGTTGGTTCAGTTGGTCAGACACTGCTACTGCGTGGTGTCCTGGTGGTGCCTGAAAATTGAAGTGGATTTTCTGCCTCCAGAGCATTTTGGGATATGTAAAACATTCCGTGTTTGAGTGAAGTGCCAGCGCTGACTGCTTTGTTTGCAGGTTGGACACGGTCCTTTACCGCAAGTGTCAGGGGGACGCCTCCCGCCTCTGCCATACCCACGGCTGGAATGAGACCAGTGAGCTGATGCCCCCAGGGGCTGTGTTCTCCTGCTTGTACAGGCATGCATATCGTACAGAGGAGCAGGGAAGGAGGGTGAGTGCTGATGGACACCTTGTTGCTGGTTGATCTGTGGTAGAAGGGTTGCACACCTCTTTGGAAGTTTGACATGCAACGCTAAAACTGCCAGGATATCGCAGTGACCTTAGGCGGTCACTGTGGTGAGAGAAGGACGAGAATCTTGTTTCTTGATCAGAAGGTTTGATTTATTGATATAAGATATATAATACATTATAACTATACTAAAAAGAATAAAGAGAGAGCTTGCAGAGACTGCTAAGCTAAGAATAGAATAGAAGGAATGAATAACAAAGTTCTGTGTTTGAGGAATCTCTCCTGAGCTGCTCCTGTGATTGGCCCTTTGTTGGAAACATGCAAAATGAGCCGATCACAGGATCACCTGCCACATCTCACAACAGCCGATAACAATTGTTTACATTCTTCTTCTGGGGCCCTTTGCTTCCCAGAAGATGGACAAATCCCAAAGAAAGGATTTCTATGAAGAAATGTCTGCGACACCAGAACTCAGACAAGCTACTTGAAATCATTTACTGTAGGTGGTGGTTGCACTGCTTTGGGTGCCCAGCTCCTCCTCAAGCGTGCCCTGAAGGTCTGGGTGGTTGTTCTGGTGAGGCAGAATAGGCCCAGCAGGATGACTGACCTGTGTCACAGGCCCATGGAGAGAACTGTGTGGTGACACCAACTTAACATTTCAGTTCAAACCCAGTACAAGTCCTCCCTCATGTCTTTCCAAAGAGGAATGTGATTCCTTGCAGATAGCCAGCATAGATGCAAAATTGGTTTTATGCAAAAAGGAGTTTCAAGATCAGCTTTTCTTGGCTGTTGCTACTTAAGTTTTGATTTTTGCCCAGCTTCAGATTATATGCCATGTAGTTCTTCCTATTGATAATGCATCCTTCCAGTTCTTTGGAGCATGCTGTACTGGTAAATGTGCTTATGCTGTCTTTGAAGACGACAGTGGGAATCTGACTTGCTGCCCTGCAGTCTGGAGATCCACCATAATCACATTTGTGGTTGAGAGCTGCTCTTTTCAAGTTTGCTGCCCTCTCGTGCCTTTAGCAGGGCACTCAGATGAAAACACCTGGGTACTCAGTTCCATTTCTTTAGGCACTGTAGTGTACACAGTCCCTAGGAGTTGATGGGTTTACACAATGGCCCAGTTTAAAAATTAATTTCCACAGCTTGATTTAGAAGGTCTTTTGTGGCAGAGGTCAAGTATTGATTGAAAGCATCTCTTTTAGGAATAATTTTTTTTAATGCGGTTTCTTAGTCTGCTGAGTTGAGACTTTTTCATTCCATTTTATATTAATGCTGACCAAAGAAATCAATAGCCACCCTGCAAATAATCTATCAGAGAGAGAAAAGGTTTTTAAATGTGTTTTTCTTTTGGAAAGTAGGCTAAGGGAGCAGCTGTCATTTTGAAATTGAGTCTTGGAAGCAAACCCATGGGAGGTTAGACCTGTATTTGTTTCCAGTGCTGTTGACAGAATGCTAGGTAACTTCCAGGGGTTTGGATTTTTAAATGTATGCAACTTTAAGCTTCAACTGGTGCATTTTAGGTTGGATAAGCACCACACCAGTATCCCTTGGTTTCCTACAGTTTGTTTCTTCCTGTCTTGCAAGTGCTGACTCTGATATGCTGTGGTGGGGATTGCTGAGCAGAAATTACAGCTGGACTGTGTTGCCTTATTCTGGGCTTCCCATTTGGTATTAAGGGCATGAGCTATTTTGACTTTCTTCTCCACAGTCGGTCTGTAGCTTTGAGTGAAGGTGTAGCAGATAGCCTGGGGACCTGATCTGACATCTCTTTCATAAAGCAAAATAGAGGTTTAAAAATATAAAATTAAACTTAGTAGAATGAGAGGAGCATCTATCTAAACTAAAGGACAGAGCTCCAAGCTCTTTTGGAGCCCTCATTTCTTGTGGGGGTCCTGGCAGGCCTGTGCTGAGCAGTGCAGGACTTTTGTGCCTTCTGGGATTGATGATGGCATTTGTGGTCACTCTCAGAACCTCACCTGACAGCATCCTGCTTGCCCTGTGTGAATTTAGGGATCCCATATCCAAACACTCCCTGTTCTCTGTGCAGCTATCACGAGAGTGCAGAGCAGAGGTGCAGAGAATCCTCCATCAGCGAGCCATGGATGTGAAGCTGGACCCAGCCCTCCAGGACAAGTGCATGATTGACCTGGGGAAGTGGTGCAGTGAAAAAACAGAGACAGGGCAGGTACTGCACACAAGATGTTACTTTGTTTGCAAAGGGTGGGAAAGATCTAAAGGAGATAAAAGGATGTCTTGCTGCCTCTTGATAGTGGAAAATGTGTTAAAAATTAGTGCAGTTTGAAACACAATCTGCACCAGACTGAGACAGGTGGTGCAGAAAAGCTTTGCATGTTCAGATGTTAGCGGAATGAGAAGGGAGAAGGGGATAGTTTGCAAAAAGGGCTTTAAAGAAGCAACCCTACCTCTGTCAACCCTCTTATTTATACTATTCTATTACAAGCTTGATATTTCCCACATAAACTTTATCCCATTTCCATTTGGCAAGTACTGACATGCTTCCTGTGTTTGTACAGAACTGAACTAACATCTGCAGCTACTTAACAAAGTTTCAGCAGATACTTCCATGTTAAACTGCTGTGCCTGGAGGGCTGTAGTGAAGGGACCATTCTGCAGCAGGTGCTGTAGACACCCTGTCTTTCTAAAGTGCCCATCATAGGCTGGGTAACTAACCTCTCTTTAAGGTTATGGAAAGGGTAGATTAAATGGGATATTCCAGAAGTGAAAGCACATCATGCAGCTTTTGAGAACAAGTGATAAGGTAACATCCTAGACCACCATTTTCAGTAATTACTATGTATGTGTGTTCTGGGAGTGCTAGTGGAGGAGTGGGATTAAATGAGATTTAGGACTTTACAAAAAGGAGGGCAGTTTCACATGTGTAACAATGTTTTAACCCCAGAATTTCAGTTTAGGTTCTTGGATCACACACTAAAATGTCTGTTTCTGTAGGAGCTGGAATGCCTTCAGGACCATCTTGATGACTTGGTGTCTGATTGCAGAGACATAGTGGGAAACCTCACTGAGCTGGAGTCTGAGGTGAGTGCATTTCAGCCTGGGGAAAAGGAATAGATGAGCATGTCTAGTTAAGCATGCCATTTTAATAATGCTGAAGAAACCTGAGGTTAGAGGAGCTGTAGAAATGCAGCTAGGGTCTGGCATCAAAATACATCCTTTTTACTCCATACAGTGCAATTTCTCCTGGAGGTTCTTGAGGAAAAGAAATAACCAACAGTTCAGGATTTCAGGCTGTTGATGGCATATCTCCTGCTTTAAAGGTCACTTATCATACTAAAACTAGGATTTGCACAGGAACCCAGTTAACTTTAACACAAGTCAAGATATGTGATGGGACTTGAGATTTTGGTCTTGCTTGCAAGTAGTTTTGAGTACAGTATTGCAGCTTCCCTCCCAGCCACAAAAATTTGGCAAGCAATAATCACCAGGTACATCAGTAGAGGTTTCCAGTGACTTTGGCAGCTTTACTTCTTTTATGAAGCTGCATATTTGACTGTTAAGACCCAGACTGTTCCCCATATCTCTCAAAATTTACACTAGGGAAAATGCCCTAGGGAAAGTTCTCTTCCAGTGGTTAGAAACTTGGTTTTATCAGAACTATGCCAAATCTTCAACTCCTGCGTAGATGTAAGGTGATTTCTAATGCTCTAGCACCTAGTTTGGAGGAGAATGACTGAATTATCCAAGCCAGGAGTTTCTGTGGAGCCCAGGCTCTTCCCTTAAGCTGGAAGGCTTGTCTTGCATTTGCCATGTTGGCAAGAGTGAACCCCAGGATTTCCAGAGCTAAATGGCAAAGCTGTCTGGATTGCATTTCTCAAAACCCTGTAAACTGGGTTGAATTTGAGTTATCACAAGTTTTTTCCAGAGTCTTTTTCTCTTGTGCATTCACTGTGAAAATGAAAAACTGTCTTTTCTGCAGGACATTCAAATTGAAGCCTTGCTGATGAGAGCATGTGAGCCCATTATCCAGACATTCTGTCATGTGAGTAGAGTACACTGTAATCATGTGAATAGCTTTGAGGAAAAACTCAGTGGGAAAAGTTAGAGAGTTTTAGTATTAGTTCTTGTTACACCTCAAAGGTAAAATCAGAGGTAATAATTTCCAAAAGTCTTTAATTAAAATATCACCCTGAAATATAAATTCTTAGTTCTGCTTAATGTTTCTGCTGCTATCAGAGCCTTAGCATCAAAGTTAGTTTGAAGATGTAAATTGCTCTGTAGTTGGCAAAAATCACTCTTTACAGTGAGTTAAATACTAGACTTTTTTCCTTCTTCTTTACATGCAGGCATGTCTAACCATTGTACTCTGTTCAGCTGCTCAGCACTGCTGAAATAACTTCACTTGTGTAGGGCTGAGTAGCTAAAGTGCAGTGGAAATCCCTAATTATAATATGTCATGTAAGCAGTGAGTCTTTGCAGTGTGTTCTCCTGAGTCTGAAGTGTGTCTGTTTCTGAGATGGTTCTTGCCTGAGCTGTATAAACAGAGCTGTGTGCTGCAGTTGTGTGGTGCAGCTCAAGGGTGGTCACTGGAAGTTCCATATTCCCTGGTCACAGTGGGCTACAAGAGTGTAAAACCCATGACTTGTAAAAGCAGTTTATTTTTATGCCTTTCCTCTCTTCTTCAGGAGGTTGCAGATAACCAGATTGATTCTGGGGACCTGATGGAGTGTCTAATACAGAACAAACACCAGAAGGAAATGAATGAAAAATGTGCAATCGGTGTTACTCATTTCCAGCTGGTGAGCAACGCTTTTTTCTGCTATCAGTGGAAGCCTGTTCTGTTCTTTCAGGGTATTGCTGGGAATTAGCTAATTATGAAATTAGCTCCTTCTTTGAAATTGATTTTTTTACTGTATTTAAGGAGCTGTTGTGAATTCAGGCAGTTGTATTTACAGGCCTGGTCATAAATGGTCACTTCTGGAGATGAATTTTTTTCAGCCCTTCCTTCCTCCTTGGCATTTGCTAGACAGGGTCCCAACTTCTTCAGCAGTGCAGCATTTCCCTTGCTGCCATATTACTAAGTTTGAACAAAAGTATGTGCGAATTGTGTGATTCAGCAAATGTTCTTTTGGCCAGCACTTTCCTTTTTTTTTTTTTTTTTTAAACCCTGGATGACTGAAGTTGTTTTTCTCCTCATTTCTCTCTTTCAGGTTCAAATGAAAGATTTTAGGTTCTCGTACAAGTTCAAAATGGCTTGCAAGGAGGATGTGCTGAAACTGTGCCCCAACATCAAAAAAAAGTAAGCAGATCCTGCCCAAACAGTATAAATGTGTAATTAAGTGACAGGGTATTTCATGATACGACTGAAAACTTCCTTTAAAGACTGATTAGTTTGTATGTGTTCCCTTAGTGACTGTGTTCTGCTTAAGGTAGAGGCCTGCCTCTTAAAATTACTTCTGCTTTACTCCTGGATAGAAGCCTGTCCTCTTTATTTTACTTGCTATGAAATTAGCTAATTATTACAATTAGTGGATTACATGTCCCAGAATGTCTTATATCCTTGCTAGATTTATTGTCTTCCAAGAGGCAGACTACTTTTGTTCTAGTTGCTGATCTGGGAAGGGAAAATATCCCACTTGTTTTATCTGGTTTATTCACTGCAGTCTAAGGGATTTTTTTAATGTCCTACTGCAATAGTGTAAGTCTAAATTACACACAAGGTCAGTCCTGTTTGTGGATAGCAAGACTATTTGCATTTTATGAGGTAAATGCCCTTCCCATAGTGTAAAAGGACTGTTTGCAATGCTGTGTAGGTATTCACCGTCATCTATTTCTGAGATGAAGCAAAGCTTTTCCAAAGTGCTGACATGACTTAAAAGCAGAGGTCTTGCTGGGCAGAGGGGTTGGTGGCATTTTGAATGTCTTGCTGTGTGCTGATCTAGACTCCAATTTAGGTTTTAATTGTGATACAGTTACTTTACACAGAGCTGTACCCAGAAGTAAGCACAGATGCACAAGAACTTTATACTATGTTTGGATTATTGGAGTCAGTTTCTCTGGTGTGGTAATCCAATATCAACCTTGGCTGGTCTTAGTGAAGGGTGAATGAATAAAAGGCTGTTTTCTTTTCTGCAGGGTGGATGTGGTGATCTGTCTGAGCACAACTGTGCGCAATGATACTTTGCAGGATGCCAAGGAGCACAGGGTCTCTCTGAAGTGCCGCAAACAGCTGCGTGTGGAGGAGCTGGAGATGGTAAACATGCCTCAAACTCTTGTCCTCCCCACTCTTGTAGTGAGGACCTTCCATTAAAGCTTCCTGGTTTGTCCACCTTTGGGGCAAAAAAAAAAGGAAGTTTGTTTGTAAGATGTATCTTATTTATTTTTTCCCCTTTTCTTACAAGGGCTCAATTGCCCTTCATGGTGAAAGTACTGATTGTCTGCTTTAATGCCTTTAAATATAGTCTTGTGAAGGCTAAGGCAAGCTAAATGGTCATTGGAATTTCAGCTAGAAGTGATTATGTTTAGTGTTAGACAGCAACGTGCTACACATTCTGATGTCCTTAACATCCTCTAGGAGAGAACAAAAGCTCCATTTTACAGACTGAGGAAACAAGCACAGATGAAGCAACTCGACTCCAGCTGCTTCAAGTTGCTCAATGGATAAATAGGAGTAGTGTTTGTTCTGGTAGGCAAAGCTGCCTCTCAACTTCCTGCTGCAGTGCTTGCAGTAATAAACTCTTAAGTTCTTTGTCCTGTAGATACTGTTTAAGTGTCAGAGCTTCACCTTAAGTAGGTCCATATCGGGAGAGGCAGTACTCTCGCCTTTGTATGGAGGAATTCAGATGTTGGGCATCACTAAAATCAGGAAACTTCATTCACATCCTCCAGATCACCTACTAGATGGGTGGCTGTTAATATGTCCTTTAGTTTTCATGTAGAAAGATTTTAGTTGTCTTGGACAGTTGTGATGATGCCCTTTTAGGAGAGGCATTGGAAATAACTTGCTAGCTCTATAATTTGATTTAAACTCTTTCTTCAGTCTCAAAAGCTGAGAGACTGCTGCAGAGAATTCCTAAGTTGATTTCCTAACACCACTTCTCACCCCCCTTATATTCAAAGAAACTCAATGCCTATTGTGAGGGTTACTTACTTTTTGTGAGTAGAAGTCTTCAGTTAAGAAGTTAAAAAAGTGAAATAGTCTCAAGTTCTACTTTAAGAGTCATGTTGTAATTTTTCCTGCAGACTGAGGATATCAGACTTGAACCAGAGCTGTATGAGGCTTGTAAAAGTGACATCAAGAATTACTGCCAGAACGTGCCCTATGGCAATGCTCAGGTAATGGAATTTATTAATAATTTACAATTTAATTTGTACTTTCATTTCAGAAAACTTTTGAAGAACACTTTTGCCCATGTAAGTGCAGCTTGAGATTTTCATTTTGATATCAGTCAAATATTTTGGTAGTACTTTGGAATGTTAATTTCTTTCTTTTCCACTGGCCCACTAGCATTAGTACTGGGTGAATGCAATGCTGTGAGCCCTTCATTCTTCAGTTTATGCTGGTGTCAAGCTATTAGCAGCTGTTTACTGCAAATGTTGCTAAAGATTTTGTAGGCATAATGTCTGCAGGATGAGATTTGTGGTTCTGGAATAAGTCCAAGAGACCCTCTTCATCTCATTAAACCTTTGTGAGAAAAGATGAGCTTACAGCCAGTCCTGGAAATAAGCATTAGTAATGACTTTGATAAAGTCTAAGCATTGGGAACTGAACTGCCCAAATGAGATGAAGGTGATCATTAGGGGAGCACATGGCTGTGTATGACAGAGTTATATCAACAGTGTGTCCATTATGCCTGCAATGTTGTGTTGTAGATTATTGAATGCCTGAAAGAAATCAAGAAGCAATTGAGTACACGGTGCCACCAGAAGGTGTTTAAACTGCAGGAGACAGAGATGATGGACCCAGAACTGGACTACACACTCATGAGGGTCTGCAAGCAGATGATCAAGGTAATGGTAGTGTGCTCATTTGAGAGGGTGAGTTGGAATAGAAGAGCTCTGTCAGCTTTGTGCTTCCCACAAAGGCTTGTTACAACATTGCTGTGCTTTTTTCAGAAATATGATTGCATTTTTGCAAAGTAATCTGTTTCTTAACTCTGAATCAGGCTGAGGTTTCTTCAGGGCTCTTCTCTTTCAACTTCCTGATCAAAGTCTGTGCACTAATAAATTTGTCTTCCCAACTGCCGGCAGAATTGGTGAGACAAACTGTGCTGAGACTCCTAATACAGTTTTCATCCAGGCAGTTTGGATTTGGATTGACTTTTAGCAAGGGTGAAGAAGTTATGATTACAGGGAAGAGTAAAATCTTAAGCTCACTCCTGATCTGGTGCACACAAACTTTTATCAAATTGATAGGGCAGGCAAAATCATGTATAACTTCAAATTAGAAATGAAAGCTGGAAGTGGCACCATGTAGAAAGCAGCAGTGAATGTTCATATAAGACATTCTTTCACAGTAGCCAGAATTCCAGGCCCTGGAACACTAGTATTAGTGGTCTGTATGTAGTGACTCCGTATTTTGGCTGATGAAGAACATCCTGAGAGTTATTTGTTCTCCGGTCCAGACACATGTTTTTAAAAAGAGATCTGGGATCTCATCAAAATAGTGAGGATTTGGAGATGCAAAAGCCTTATCTTAGACCCACAGAATTAGTTTCTAACAAAAGAAATTAGTACCTTGGTCCTTGGTCTGAATTTTGGGTAAGCTGGTTCACTTTTGACTATCTGATTCAAGGTGGGAATGGGCTAATTATTGTAATGAGCTCCTCACTGCTTTCTCCTTGTGTGTGGTCTTAGTTTGCCCTGAGTGGCACTAATGAACTCTTTACTGTTGTGTTGTCCAAGCAGCATGTGCACAGGACAGCAGTATATGCATAGATTTAAAAGATTAGGTTTTTAGTTTGTAAAATAAATGCGAACAAAAGTAGTTGAGTATGAGACCTAATTCGGTGGGTATTTCTTTCCAAGTATATTGTTTCTTAAGAATAGAAAATAAAGGCAATTTGCTTTTGATAAAGCCAGTCAGGACTGCACAGCTCAATGCTCAGTCCATAAGCACAGACATTAATGCCCACAGTCAATTCAGAGAGCAGCACTGAGAGGTTGGAGCTAGGCAGGGTGGCTCTGTACCTCTCTGTTGGGCAGGTGACTGTTGTCTTCCATGAATTGGAAGCTGGTGGTTGGGTTTGGGCTTTGTTTTTCCAAGTGCTTTTAGTGATGCATCTTGTTGTGTTTTGGGGATTTTTTTTGTAGCGGTTTTGTCCAGAGGCGGATTCAAAAAACATGTTACAGTGCTTGAAACAAAACAAGAACAGTGAAGTGATGGATCCTAAATGCAAGCAGATGATTACCAAGCGCCAGATTACACAGAACACAGGTATCTCCTTCTGAAACAAAACCAGAACTTGCTTGCCTGAGATGTTCTGCATGGCTGGAAGAATATCAGTTTTGTTTTATTCTCCTTTGGTGTTTTCTGTGTACACACTGACCTTAGTCAGGTTCTTGAGGATCAGCATGTGTTGTTGAATCCTTCTAATTCCTGAAGCTCTTACCTCACAATTTGAAATTCTGTTATGAAAAATACTATTTTCCCCCAAAATTATGTTCCTTGATGGTATATCATCCAGGAAATTTCTATCCCATCTCTGAGTGCTGTGCTCTGTAATCTGAAGAGATGTGTGTTCTAATGAAGTTCTGTCATCTCCTCCTGGTTAGATTACCGCTTAAACCCCGTGCTCAGGAAGGCATGCAAAGCAGACATACCAAAATTCTGCCAAAATATCCTGAATAGGGCCAAGGATGATACAGAGTTGGAAGGTCAAGTCATCTCATGCCTGAAGTTGAAATATGCAGACCAGGTGAGTAGAGCTGGTGTCTGCAAAAGAGAAAATGTGCAGATTGTGCTGATCAACAGTTGTTAAATGACAAATCAAATTTGGGCTTGTGATGTGTTCAGCGTATATAACAGGCTAAAGGGGCTTTTTATGTTCCTGCAGAAATATTATAGAATACAGGTTAGGGTACAGGTGGTTGATTCCCAAAGGTCATTGAGTGAGTTAGTGACTTTCTCCTCCAAACAGCGTCTCTCTCCCGACTGCGAGGACCAGATTCGAGTGATAATCCAGGAATCAGCCCTTGATTATCGGCTGGATCCCCAGCTTCAGATGCACTGTTCTGATGAGGTAGGAGAGTGACTCCATAGCTGCTTTTGCGATGAAAGCTCCCATTGTGTAACAGGTTTTTGTTTCTCAGAGCATGCTTTCCTAATAAGTAAAACAAAAAATTCCCTTTGAGCTGCTTCTTGCTAGTCAGATTCTCTGCTGTGACTTTTTTCCGGTGCACAAGAGTTGCAGTTTCCTGTGCATTGCTAATATGAAGTTAATTATTTCATCTGGGATCTTATCAGTACTTGTGGCTATGGAAAAATCCTTCTTTCCAGTTGTCAAAAAGAAGTCAGTTCTCTGGTCTTGTCAGCCTTAACTGGAATACAGTCAGGCTTTTTGAGTTTTTACTTTTGGTAACAGAGTTGGTCATGCTTCAAGTGTTACTTATTTCATACTTGCACATTTTTTCCATGCTGTTTTCTTCCCTGCCCTCCTCCTCAGTACAGTGATATTGACTTCTTGCTGCTGGCTTTCAAAGGGTTATGCATATTGCATGAGCCAGGCTGCATTTGGCTTTGGGGATTTTGGGGGGGAAGGAATCTCATCATGTATTCTTCAGCTGCACCCTATGATGAACTAACATATTGAGATATAAAAGTGCTAAAAGGCAAGGATGATTGTTGTGAACTACTTATGTTAAAACACCTCTTTCAAAATAGATTTCCAGCTTGTGTGCAGAAGAAGCAGCAGCTCAGGAGCAGACTGGGCAGGTGGAAGAATGTCTGAAAGTGAATCTTCTGAAAATAAAAACTGAGATGTGCAAGAAGGTAAAGAAAATAAATTGGATGTTCTAAAAAGCTTCCATCCCTGCAGAAGTCTGTGATTTTTTTCCAGATCACAGCCTAGGTCATGTTCTAGCTAGTATTAGGCCAGAGTGCTGAAATTTCCCTATATGTCTCGGTTCTGGCCTGCAGTGATTCAATTCGATTTCAATTTGCCAGTGAAAATTATGTTGAAAGTTCCTCCTTTGCAATTCCAAACTTGAATCCTTTCTTGATGACGGTTGCCAAAGGTTCTTGTTACTAACCTGTTTCTTGTGCTATCTCCATTGCAGGCTTTCTTAGGCCCAGGCTGTGCACTTGAGGGCTGTATGAATTGTGCCATGACTATTCCACCTGATTTCAGTTCTAACTGAAATAGTCCTGGCATACTGCCTTTGTCTTTTAGATTAATATCAGTATTTTAAGGAATGTTACAAACCAGGACATTTAATTAGGCCTAAACCAGCATTCATATTATGTCCATATCCATATATATGTCCTTATCCGAGAACGGTGGTGGGTTTTCTCACCATCCTGGATTTGAAAAGATGATACACCTTTCAGAGACATTGATCAGCGTGAGTTTTGTTCTGTCTCCTTTTCCTGAGACTTCCTTGTAATTTCCTCCTCTGCAGGAAGTGCTCAACATGCTGAAGGAAAGCAAAGCAGATATCTTTGTTGACCCAGTGCTCCACACAGCCTGTGCCCTGGACATCAAACACCACTGTGCTGCCATCCCGCCAGGGAGGGGACGCCGTAAGTGCTCGTGCTGTGCTTGTGTGACCTCTCAGCCTTGAGATACTTAACCTGCAGTTCTTACCTGTGTAATCCTCCATACAAGGTATTTCCACCAGTCATTTGTAGACACCAGGATGGAACAGCAGCAGAAGTGGTAGATGAATGGGAGTTAAGAAATCTTTCCTTGTGTCCAAGTCTGTAGCTTAGAGAGGGCTCTGCCTGCAAGTGCTTGATTGGCAGTTGTGCATTAAAAGTCTGGAGTTGGTTTAACTAAGTCTGTGGTCTGTTTGCTACGAGCCAAGTAATTCTTCACTCCAAAGCAGAAAACATCTAATTAGGGATTAGTCAAGTATGGTAACATGAATAAAAAATACAAAATTTTATGTCTGTGTCTTATATGAGCGTTTAAACAAGCATATGAGTTAGTTGGCCAAGCCCCTCTTTGGGCATCAGAACACTGTGATCCCATTTCCTTTTCACAAAACTGTGTGAAAAGTCAGGAAGTTAAATCTTTCAAAATGTATTGTTGTTCAAAAGAAATGCCTAACAAGACTAAGGAGATAAGGTTGTGTTTTTTCCAAACCGAATTTGATCTTAGCTCTTTCTAAAGGCTGGTGGCATGGAATTCAGAGTGTACAACCCTTGAAGGTGCAGATTTATAAGACTTCGTAAAATCTCATGTAAACCACATGAATTATATATTGGATATGTTCTGTAGTTTCTTTTTGGGAGTAAAAATTCCTTGCATCTCCAAATGCAATACTGAGCATAAATCTTGGTGAAATTGCTAGCTTCAGGCATAGTCTGCCAGGTCTGTTTAGAAAGCCTTGTAACCATCACCCTTCATGAGAATGGAAGAGCCCTCTCTGCACCATATTATCAAAGCCACTGTTTCTATTTTGTAACACCATCTTCTGCACATTACAGAAATGTCATGCTTAATGGAAGCTCTGGAAGATAAGCGTGTGAGGTTGCAGCCTGAATGCAAGAAACGCCTTAATGATCGTATTGAAATGTGGAGCTATGCTGCAAAGGTGAATATGTAAATGATTTCCATTTTTTAATGCCTTAGATATTTCTGTTGCAAGGTATTTATGAAAAACTTCAACTGTAATAAAATTCTTGTTTCCAAATGAAGTTTAGTATTTTGAGTTTGGTTCAGAAAAACTGAAATCAGGTTGTCTTCTTAGAACTTAGATCTTATTTTCTCTATGTCTGGGATGTGTCCTTAACAATGCAGAATTAAACTGTCTTTTGTGCACACAGGGCTTAGTCTCCTGCAGAGAAGGTGTAGGGCAATGAAATAGGGGCAGGAAAACTTCCTGTTATAAAGGTGTCTCCTGAACAGCAGCTCCTTCAGGTGAATCATTGCAGACCTGCTTTTTTCTGGTTCAGGCCAATTCTAGCAACGACAGGACGCCACAATAGCAGCACCGGACACTAAAGCTGGTAAATGTCACAGCTGAGGGTTGCATGGAAAGCACAGCTTGGCTCATTTATTCCCTTTTCACTTCCAGGTTGCCCCAGCAGAAGGCTTTTCTGACCTTGCCATGCAAGTTATGACCTCTCCATCCAAGAATTACATCCTGTCTGTGATCACGGTTGGCATCTGTGTACTCTTCCTCATCGGCCTGATGTGTGGACGCATCACCAAGCGGGTGACAAGAGAGCTCAAGGACAGGTAGAGCCTGGATTGCCTGCTGAAGAAATGCCTGCCCAGTGCCCAGTTTTGTACAGCCCTCCTCTGTATAGTCTACCCACCCCCTCTTGTGAGAGGAGAATTAAAAAAAAAAAAAATTTAAAAAAAAAATTAGAAAAGCAGCAGGTGTTGGCTCAGTTTTCCCATCCTGGATCTCATCCATGGCATCTTCATCCTATGAAAGTTTGTGTGCAACATTGGCAGCCCAGCCAGCAGCTTTTGTTACCCCTTTGTTAGCAGACTCTCGTTTACCTGCCTGTAGACAAGTCTCTGTTGTACTGTTGGAACTGCCTTCACTCTCCAAATCAGACTGATATGACCTGCAGCTCAAGCAGTTTTTAAGTAAATTTTTAAAGACAGACATATTCTGCATACCGACTATATGATTTAGGTAATGGTTCATACTGAAATCTAGTCATCCTCTGTGGCTGGGTGAAGTTGAGGCAGGAAATTAAAGGGTAAATTGCATCTTACACCACAGCTGGCCTTGTTTTGGACGTCTTGCTCGTCTGTGTAAAGCATCTTCAGAGCATAGTCTTGGACAACCTAAGGACACCAACCACTGGTGTCATCTCCTAGTGAATATCCTGCTTATGTGACTGTGGATTTTTTTGGCTGAAAAGATGTCCTTCCTTTCTTCCTCTGCTGCTCGCAAGATAGAATAAAATACTGACCAGGATTGAATACTCATGTGAGCTATACAACTTGTGTTTCAGTAGATTAAAGGCACAATGTAGACACGAGGTATGTAGAGCCTGCCAGTAGTGAACAGTGTCAGTGGGCAGGAAGTGCTCTGAGCAGTTACTCGGTCAACTTTTTTATTAGCAATGATGCAGTAAAATTCTAACACTCCTTTTATTTTACCTTGCTACTGCTAAGCTGTTACCCTCCCAAATTAACTGTGTGTAGATGGTACTGGCACACTGGCAGTGCAGTGCTCTGTCAGTGATGCAGAAAGCAACAGAACACCCATTGTCTTCTCTCTCTGTGTAACGGTTACTCGTGGGTCAGCACTGTGGTTTGTAACCACACTCTGAGTCTTAATGGTTTGCATGGTGGCACCGAAGAGTGGCTTTCATCTCCACAACTACAATCGATGGTGATAACACCTGGCATTTTCCTGGGATGTAGGACACAGGTGCCAGTCCTGCCAAGTGGATGGAAGATTGATAGTGTGGTATGAAAGGCAAAAACATCGGGATTTTTAAGGGAAGTAACTTTTAGCTCTTGCATAGTTATCATCAACATGTGCATTTGTGCTATGTGTAGTTATACTTCCAGAACCTGATACTTACACCCAAGAGCCTAGAGAAGGTGTTTTGGAAAAGCTGCACCAGTAGTTGTGGCCTCTTCTTACCATCATCTGTGTTCCTCAAGTACAGGGAGGTGTGGAGCTCATCAGGCAGGTGCTTTGACTGAAACATGGGGTGTGTTGATGAAATCTAGAAGAGGCTGCACAAGAATCAATGTGTACAGGAGGATATGTTTGATTCACCTTTAGGACATTCTTACCCATGGGTGCTGTGGTAAAAACCATGCACCTGAAACTGTCCAGCTTAGGCTGATGCTTGAACCGTAACTTTATTTTCCCACTTAGCACACTCCTATGTAAGACCTGGCATTTCCAGTTCTCCCCATTGTTCTCTAGAAGAACAGTGGAGGTGGTTTTGAGACACTCTGGAGTGTGGACCAGCTGACTGTGGTGATGCTGTACACACAGAATGGCATATACCAAATACTGGGAGCTTTTGCTATGACTTTTTGCTGAAGCTTTTTGCAAACATAACTTCATCCTGCTCAGAGGATGGTGGCAAACTAGTATGGGTTCAGACTTGCTATGCTAGTGAGTCTCACAAACACTTCTGGTTTTGTAGCAAAGTACTGTGAACACAAACTAGCAACAGCAAAAGCCTGAACAATGAAGTTTCAGTGGAGAGTTAGTGTATGGTAGGATTGCAGTTAAGTGGTGAGGTAAAACTGAATTTAAGCCTGAATTCCTTCTCTTGCCCCTCCCTGATGCTAAGGGAGCTTGCCTGGCTGTCAGTCAGCATGAAGTGGAGCAGAAGAGAAACAGTTAATTTGGTCTCTTGAGGTAGCACAGGTGTGTAACTCCACAAATATTAGTTTGGCAATTAGAAGTGTGTGTTGTGTCACTCGAGTGAGTGTTGAAATGACTGCTGTCAAGATGGGTGTCCTCACAGAGCTGCCAGCAAGGGAAGTGGCATCTCGGTGCAGCCTTGCTTGCTGGCACGAGTCTTGCTTCTCCAAAATGTCTGTCTGGCATTATGAAATTGCCATTGGAGGGCTTTTTTTAAACTGTTGTGACTTTTTGAGAAGGCGTTTTGTAACTTGATTAGCTTGAAAGGCCTAATTAGATGGTTTATTGTCTAGAAATAGCATCTTCCACTAAATTCCGAAAGACATTGCAGTGAAAATTGTAGGTTTGTAGCCATAGTTCCAAATGTAAACCCTGTTCAGCTCTGAAGGTGACTTTCTTTACTTTCAGATATAAGGCTTGCTGGGTTTTTCCTTTTAAATTTGGAGGAGGTTATGGTAAGGGTGCCTGAAGCATGGCATTAGGAGTCTGTGCTCTGCAGTGTATTAGTCTGTGGTTGGTGATGTTTCTGCCAGTATCAGGCTCACAGTTTGTGTGAGTGCACTGTGATGCTGTTAGAGGTGTGTGGCCCAAGGCCTTTGGAAGAAAAAGTAGGATACTAAATAAACCTTTTGTCACAGTAGACACAGACCCACCTTTTAAAGGTTGGCAAGGGGTCCAGGCCATTTTATCATTCAGTATATTATCTTTTATTGTTTTAAAAAGGGATCTGCTACCACTGGTGATGACCAAATCTGGGTTTTTTCCCAACTAAAAATATACAAGTCACAGTCTTGAAACATTCTCCTCCTTTTCATGTATACCTAAAAATCTAGAGGTTTTGCAAGCAGAGAAACCCACAGGAGTACTCTTCCAAAAATAACCTGGTTGTGCTGTTGCCAACACATCATCTTGCCTGCAGGTAATCATTTTCCACTGCAGGGAAAGAAACAAAGAATCATAGAACAGTTTTGAGTTGGAAGGGACCTTAACATTCATCTCTTTCCAACCCCTGCCTTGGGAAGGACACTTTGCACACTAGACCAGGGTACTCAGAGTCCCATCCAGTCTGGTCTTCAACACTCCAGGGATGGGGAGTCCACAACCTCTCTGAGCAGCCTGTGCCATTGTCTCAGCACCCTGGTAGGAAACTGTGAGCAGTGGTTGTAAGAAGCACTGCTGTTGCCTTGAATTTGAGAAAGCCTTTTTAACTTCTCTATTCAACAGTGTCAGCAGTAGCTGCAGTCAGCCAGGACAAGTGGGTTGGCATGGAAGAGCCTGTGGTAGTCTTTCCTTTTCATGACCCTTTCCTCTCACTGGAGAAGTCTGCCTTCTACTGAACGCAGTTTAGGAGATGATTGTTGGTGAGAGTTGTTGCTGGTGCTCAGGGCATGGATGGAAGAGCTGGATGTTTGGGATCTGGCAAGGCATTCAGCTCTCCATTTGCTTCCTGCTGCTGCTGCTGTGAGGGTTAACAAGGCTTCCTAAAGGATGGCATGTGTGTCAGGAACCGTGCATGATGTGCACCTCTATTCTCCACTCCTGCTAGCTGTTACAGTTCATTCTCATTCCCAGTAATAAGCTTATTTATTGTTTACCTAGGGAGTCTAATCAGGTCCTTTTGAGAATTTCAGCTTGGGATTCTCCTGCCTCACTTCTGTCATTAGGCTGCTGGAGTAACTCATCTGGGTGGGAACAAAATTCCTGGCACCTGAAGTATTGCCCACCAGACTGGGCTGAGTATCTGTTTTTCTGTGTCACTGCAAAGGGCTGGAAAAACCCTAGTGAAGGTTGAATAATTCTGTAGCAAAATGTTAGCATTTCCTCCAGAATCTGACACTGTGATATAATCAGTGTTGCTCTGAAAGAATCCACAGTTAAGTGCATTATATGGAAAATAAGGGTTGTGACTGTCTCGAGTACAGAATCTAACTGCAGGTAGGTACAGAGGGAAGAAATGGGAGAAGCCAGAGGGACTGCTGGAATCCCACAATGTTGTAGAGGAATTGTGTTGAAGCTGGATGGTGATTTCTGTTAAAATACAACGTTATTACTTAGTGAAAGAAGATTGTAGGGTTTTTTACTTTATCGGTTTTGTTTAGGAAAAAAAAAAGTAGTTGTGAGGTGTGTATGAGTGCACAAGTGTGGTATGAAACCAGAATGTTTCATCTAGCACCTCTGTCCCTATTTAAAGTACGGCTCTGGGACTTAAACAACTGCAGTGTGGATTTGTGTAAGAGCACGTTCCTAATTCTGGGGTTCAGATCCTCCAGGCAGCTCCCAGGTACTGGTCTTTGTCAGAGCCCTTGTTTGGTAGCCAGATCTGCCATTTTGCTTCCACCGATGAGTCATGGTTAGGGAGGACCCAAATCACACACGTGCCAGAGAGAATTCAGCTGGCACTGCCATTGTCCTGTGCTGGTGGAATTCTCCCTCTGCTCCACTGAGTTCCTGAATGCTGCCTGGGATAGGGAGGACTAACAGCGTTGCTCTTCACTAGCCAGAGGCGAGATTTTCACCTTGCACAGCACCCAGATTTGATTCCGTAGCTGCCCAAACGCAAAGCTCCCTGCCAGGGTGAATTGCTGCACCCTGAGCCCCCAGCCCCTGCGTTGACTGAGTTAGATAGAAGTTCTCGCCTGGGAAATCCTGAACTAGGAGCAAAGGGAAAGGTGTGCCTGCCCCGTGGGAGGGAGGATCCATGGCTGTGGGTACGGGCCGGGTGCGGGGGAAGGGGCTCCCCGGCACCCGCAGTGTACAGAGCAGACCCAGCGGATTCCTGTTGTACAGCAAATGCTGTTTGAACGTAGTCTCTTTTTTTTATTATTATAATTATTTTTAAATGTGACATTAACGAAACTTTTTTTTTGTAAATCGTTTACCCTTTCTGTGTATAAATCCTGGCCGCTCCTTGTTTCAGTTTGGTTTTTTTTGTTAGGTTTTTTTTTTACATGTCCATGCTGTGTAATTTTGAGATGTTTCTGAACTTCTGAACATAATAATGTGCATTTTTTTCTGTACAGATGAAATGGGAGAATTTAATAAAAAGAGTCTGCAGGTTTGTACTTGTGGTGGTTTATTTCTGAGGGGACGCGCGGGGGGAGGGGCCTCGC